AAGGCCCCGTGGGCGGTGTTCGCATGCGTTCTCGCCGCCCATTCTGGCACACCCGGAACACGCTTCGTGGCCCCATGGGGAGCCCCACCGAAGGCCCCGTTGGCGGTGTTCGCATACGTTCTCGCCGCCGATTCCGGCACACCCCGCACACGCTTTCTGGGTCCCTGGGGAATTCCACCGAAGGCCCCATTGGCGGTGTTCGCATGCGCCCCCGCCAACCGATTCGGCACACCCTGCACACGCTTCGTGGGTCCATGGAGAACTCCATCGAAGACCCCATTGGCGGTGTTCGCATGCGCCCCCGCCACCCAGTCCGCTCACCCCTCACACGTTCCGTGGCCCCACACGGAGCTCCACCGAAAGCCCCGTTGGCGGTGCTCGCAAGCGTTCTCGCCGCCGATTCCGGCACACCCCGCACACGCTTCGTGGCCCCACAAAAAGCTCCACCGAAGGCCGCGGTGTCGGTGATCACAAGCGTTCCCGCTACCGATTTCGGCACACCCCGCACACGCTTCGTGGCCCCATAGGGAGCTCCATCGAAGGCCCCTATGGTGGTGTTCGCATGTGTCCCCGCCACCCAGTCCGCTCACCCCTCACACGTTCCGTGGCCGCATAGAGAGCTCCACTGAAGGCCTCAGTGCTGGTGTTCGCAGGAGCCCCCGACACCAATTTCGGCACAACCCTCGAATGTTTCGTGGTCCGATAGGAAACTCCACCGAAGACGATATACACCAGCGAACTAGTCACAGCGCGCCAAGATAATCCTGCCACCTCGTTCACATTCAGAAAGGCCAACAAAAAGAATCAACTGGTAATCCACCAGAAAAGGACACCTTTGATATTCCGCCACATATGGATTGCTTTCGTGACCTACCCCCCGACAACAATTTTTGTAATCCGCTATAGTAAGGCAGAGTGCCTCAACAGCCAAACAATAGTTCCTTTGGCCTGCGCCACACAAGGAATCTCTTTGCTGTCCGCCGCAAAAAGATGTGCTTGAAACCTGCCACCAATATAGTTTCTTCGCCACCAACAAACAATCGACATGAAAACCGCCACACGGTGAATCAATGTGCAAGCGGCCCCCAACAATAATCAATGAATGGCCACTCAAAAAACTAACTCGACATTTGGCACAGAACAGACCTCTTAGTACTCGGCCATAAGAAAATGCACGTGGCAACCGAGATACGCCACAACAGGAATCCGTTTAAAACCAGCCGCACGTCAAAGTTATGTACAATCGTCTTAAGAAAAAGGCACCACCCTACAATCGGCAACGAAAAGCACCAATTCCTACGCCGCAGCAGAAAGAACCAATGTGTAAGCAATCGCGCCAGAAAGTCCCTTGCAACCGCGCGTCGAAAGAAGTTATGTTGTAAGGGCGCCACGACAAAAAAATATCTTCCATGGTCGCTATACACCGGATTCTGTGTGTAAGGGCCTCATGCGGAATCAACCTGTATCCCGCGACACAAAGACCCGTTCGGTAAACTACGGCAAGAGAAACTAATGTGTAACCCGCTTCAACGGAAACCACATGTGCTCCGTTACAAGGCGAATCGCCATACAGGGAATCAATGTGCACCCGCAGCCAAAACAACATCACTTTGCAATCTGGCGCGAGAAAAAAAACAAAGTGTAAGCCGCCACAAAAAGGAAGTCTAGGGAGGCTCCTCTTACAAGCCCCCTCTTCCCCTTCGGGGGGGGGGGTTTACCGGCGGCGGCGGCGGCGGCGGTGGCGGCAGCGGCTGCGGCGGCGGTTTGGCAGCGGGGGGCGGCGGCGGCGGCGGCGGCGGCGGCGGCGGCGGCAAGCGGCGGCGGCGGCGGCGGCGGCGGCGGCGGCCAGCGGCGGCGGCGGCGGCGGCGGCGGCAAGCGGCGGCGGCGGCGGGCGGCGGCGGCGGCGGCGGCCAGCGGCGGCGGCGGCGGATTGGCCCCCAATAGTTGCCCATCTGCTGAAGCTCAGGCCAGACTCGGGTGCTACGTATGTGTTGGGAGGGCGGGTGGGAGTGAGCTGGACGGCTTGCTATCTACGAGGGTGTCTTGACCCCTCTCCCCTACCCCCTCCCCTGGACCTGGACGGGGCGCCCCACGAGGTGTCGGAGGGTACCTGTTCGCCCAACATGGCCACAAGAAGGCCTCAGAGAGCCCAAGATGACCTCCAAGGTGGCTCAATATAGCCCAAGATGCCTCAAACCGGCTCCCAAGATGCTCCAAGAGGCCCCAAGAACACTCCAAGACGGCTCCAAGACGCCTCCGAGTCCTCCAAAGAGGCCCCCAAGTTGCCAACAACTTTCTAACAGCAAAAGAGAACACAATATATTTTGCTGTCTCGCCTCTTCGCTTCCGATGGCAATCCGAGGCCTCAAGATGGCCCCAAAATGGCATCCGTCCTGCCTTCTGCCTCCTCCACCTCCTCCTTCTCCTTCTCCTTCTCCACCTTCTCCTCCTGCCTCCTCGTCCTCCTCCGGGACCTCGAGCGGCACGGGCGGCTGCAGCGAGTTCTGCCTCCTCACAGCGTGCTGGCCTGGGGTGTCGGGGCCGCGCCCGCGAGGGGTATTGCATCCAGCACCAGGGCGACGTCCCCGCTTAGGGCCAACGATCGCGGTGCGGTGAATGCAGTCGGGCCTAGGACAGAAGAACCTCCTCCAAGGGCATGGAACCCTTCGCCAGCCAAAACACCCCGAACCATGAGATCACTCGAGGGTACCCTCCCCAGGGGTGCACAAGACCATCCCACCGAACACGAACAACATTAGGGTACCCTCCCCGAACTGACCTCGATCTCATGCCTCGGTCCGACAGTCGGCCATGTCCACCGCCGGGGGAGCCGACGCCCTGGGACACCAGGGGGCGGCGGTGGACATCGATGTGTTTGGGCCCCGGGGGCCCGAACATGTCCAGATCCAAGATTCGGTCTGCTGGAGAGGCAATCGAGCAGAGACTGCCAGATATTGATGTGCTTACAGAGGGAGCCCCAGCCAACCCAACCCTGCCGCCTCTCGCCCCCCCCCTTGCAGGGCGGCGGCGGATATGCGCGGCTACGCGATTAGGTGCATACAATGCACCACGTGTGCGTGTCTGTGGACGGGCGTTTGTGTACACATACACGTCTACCACTTAAAATGCATAGTGCAGATGCGGAGCAGATGCATGGAGCTAGCAGGATTCACAGGTAGGCTAAACTAACAGACGTATTCACAATGTATCGCGAACAGGTTGCCAGATGGCAGGACAGACATGAAGAGCGGCTGAGAGAGAAAAAGAGAGAGATAGAGAGAGAGAGAGAGAAACCAAAAGACAGAGACAGAGAGAACGAGAGAGGACATATATAAGAACACGCTCATCCATACATGCAGTCCTTCACGTGTGTGCACAATACAGATTGCTGGTAATGACTGCGAGGGGCTCTTTGCATTTTGCCATCGCGCTGACTTGCACTCACCCAGGATGCCGTCCTCCTCATTCAGCTCGCACCTACGTTACACTGACTATTACGCCGCTTATTATGTTATTTCTCTCATGTTGGATGGAACCCCCGCGCATTTGGTTCAATCAACAAATTCTCTGTTCTTACTACAATGCGCCCCCTCTCCACTCGTCAACTTTATCGATGCCGCCAACTTTTGCACCCGCATTCCCGATCGCGCCGTGCCTGTGCCTGCACGTGAGCCTTTCAAACGCATGGCCCCTGGCGTAAAGTATGACAATGTCTGGGGATACTTTATCGTGGCATCGTGCGTATCCCTCTGGGCCAAGCTGGCTCGCCTTGAGCCAAAATACCTACGTACCCAGCCGTCGCTCTCAGTCCCTGGCCGCATCTCTGCATTTCCACTGTAATCCTATGTCCAGACTGCTGCAAGGTTTATAAGCTCGACCGCAATCATACTCAATAGCAATCTTGATAGGATCATAGGGTCATGGACACATTTACTTGGGAAGCTGCTGGAAGTGGTGTTCCCTTCGGGTGATTCTCTCGCCCTTCCGTATTTCCCATCCGTTTCCTTCTGCAGCCTCCTCTTCTGTCCTCCTCCTCCTTCTGCTCCTCCTCCTCCTTCCTAAACATTCCCTGTGTTCTCCTACCTGCCCTCACCATTTCCTATCCACCTGCTTCTGGCCTCTCGGGCCCCTCGAACCTCCAAGGGCCTCAGGAAAGGGAGGAGGAGGAGGAGGAGGAAGAGGAGGAGGAATTGGAGATGGAGGAGGAGGAGGAGGAAGCGGGGGGGATGGATCTTCGGTAGCGTTTCTGGCCTCAGCTCGAGCCTCGGGCGGCCCTTCGGGACGACCGGGGCACCCCTGGATGCCCCTCGACGGAGGCACATGGCTGAGGGGAAGAGGACCTCCTCCGATCCTCGATCCTCCTGCTTCGCCGCCTCGGAAGATTCCCCCCCCCCCCCTCCCTGCCCCCGCTCCTCGGGCGCTCCCCCCTGGGGGGGGGGCGCACCACAGCCAGGGGGTAAAGGTGCACCTGCCATGCACCTCTGGGGGCTCCGAGGGGGCTCTTTTCCTGCAACCCTGCATCCTCCACCTCATCTACCGCTTCCCCATTTTGACACGTCCGACCCCGCCCCCCCCCAGACCCCCGACGCTGAAACTTTTGTCAACAGCGTGACCCCCAGAAATCTGCACCCTTTCCGTCCGTTGGACCGTTTTTCATCCAGTGTCGTTGTTTGACGGTCCAGGGGCCCCACTAAGGACCCTAAAAATTGTCTAAAACCTCCTGCCGTGCATTTTTCCTGGTATTGCGACGCAAATGTCTGGGACAAGACCGTGCGGTCAGGGACTTTTGGTCAGCGTGTCGCGGCGGCGGCCCCGACGACACGCTGTGCGAGCTGATACATCGTGCCCCCCCGCCCCGCGGGGCGGGAGGCCAGGAGAAGCTCGGGGCGCTGGCCCGGGGACTCGGACGTGGTTGGCGTGCCGCGCCGGAGCGTGGTAGGCCAGACCCGACGGCGCCACACGCAAAGCAAACGTTCCCGGTGGTTTTCGGGCCATACCTCGGAACCCCAGGAGGACGTCCGGGGCGATCGGGGGCACCCCTCGAACGCTCTCGGCGGGGCGCAGCTGCTGGAGAGCACCTCGGAGCTGGACAGCCACGGAGAGCCCATGAAGGCAAAAGCAACCCTGGAGCTGTCGGCGCGGCACGCCAAGCTGGCGGGCGCGCGGCGCGCGGCCTTTTCCCCGCCCTCGCGTCGATGCTGCGTCGCCCAGGCGTGGGGGAGTCTGTTGGCCGCCCTTTGCGGGGCAGCGTCAGGCTGCGGCTGGCTCCTGGCGCGCTGCGCCGAGGGGGAGGGGAGGGAGGGCAGAGGGAGGAGACGATGATGATAGATGATGGATGGTGGCTGACGGATGGTGGATGATGGACGATGATGGACGGTTGATGATGATGATGATGCTGATGCTGATGATGATGAAGATGCTGGTGGTGCAAACCATGCTGTTGATAATGACGATTATGATGCTGCTGCTGATGATGATGATGATGATGACGAGGCTGATGATGGTGATGATAATACTTAGGACGATGATGCTGGTGGTGGCAATTATGATGCTGATAAGTATGATGATGCTGCTGCTGATGATGATGATGATGCTGATGATGATGATGATGATGACGATGATGGTGATGGTGAAGGTGATGACGAGGATGAGGATGAGGAGGATGATGATGATGATGACAATGATGAATATGATGATGATGGTGATGATCAGGTGATTGTGATGGTGGTGATGATGCTGATGATGATGGTGATGCGGGTGAGCTGTTGATGCTGTTATTCATGATGATGATGATGATGATGATGATGATGATGATGCTGATGCTGATGCTGATGATGATGATGATGCTGGTGACGATGATGATGGTGACGATGAAGAAGATGACGATGATGCTGACGATGACGATGACGATGACGATGACGATGATGATGATGATGATGATGATGATGATGATGATGGTGATGGTGAAGGTAATGACGAGGATGAGGATGAGGATGATGATGATGACGACAATGATGAATATGATGATGGTGGTGATGATCAGGTGATTGTGATGGTGGTGATGATGCTGATGATGATGGTGATGCGGGTGAGCTGTTGATGCTGTTATTCATGATGATGATGATGATGATGATGATGATGATGATGATGCTGGTGACGATGATGATGGTGACGATGAAGAAGATGACGATGATACTGACGATGACGATGACGATGATGATGATGATGATGATGATGGTTACGACGATGGTGATGATGACGACGATGCTGCTGATGATGATGATCATATAATGCTGATCATGATGATAATGCGGCTGCTGATGAGGGTGTTGGTGATTGTGATGGTGATGGCGACGATGATGGTGAGGATGATGATGATTATGCTGGTGATGGTGCTGCTGTTGGGGAACGGGAAGGAAGGGGTATGAGGTGATGGTGATGAAAAGGGGGCGGGAATATACGGATTAAGGAGGCGGATGTTGTGACCATGAAGGTGGAAAAGGAGGGCTCATGACGGATGAAGAGACAAAATAATCCGCCGACCCTTCGGCGTATGAACGACGCTGTCGTCGTCGTAGTCGTCGTCATCGTCGTCATCTGCAACCACAAGGAAGTTGAGAAACGTCGTAGTTGAGTCGAAGGGAAGCCCCTTTCCTTTGATCCCTTCCACGCCAGGGGAGTCGGGGGGGGCCGTCCACCCCAGGGGGGGCCCCAGGGTGTGTTCCCCCTGAGGACAAGGGGGAGTCAGGCCCTCCCCCTCCGCCCTTGTTCCAAGAGTCCTTAGATCCGCTCCAAGGCGGCTCCAAGTGACCATGGAGGTTCCAAACAACTCCCCCGAGAGACAGGGCCCAAGAGGCTCCAAAGAGGACCACTCGAATGGCTCCAGAGCGTTCGCATCGTCGTCGACGTCGCTGCCGCCGTCGCTGCCGCCGTCGCCGTCGCCGTCGTCGCCGTCGTCGCCGTCGTGGTCGTGGTCGTCGTCGTCGTCGTCCCCCTTCAGGGTCAGCCATACGGCCTTTGAAATACACGATGATGGTGATGGTGATGGTGATGATGATGACGACGACGATGAAGAAGACGAAACACCTTATGCACCCTCTGCCACTCGAATGTTAACAAAACAGAAATTGTGCCAACCCTCACGCGACCCAATCCACGAAACGTGCGAATCAAGGCCACAGTCTCTTCGCGAAGAAGGATCCTTTACTTGCAAACCAACGCCTGATACAACTCCCAATGTTCGCGGGCATCCGTGCCGTACACGCTCGAAAAGACATGACGAAGAAGAGGCTGGCTGGCGCCCTCCGTGGGGTGTGCATCGTCGGTGCGAGGACAGCGAGCAGAGAACAGCCGGGAAGGGACGCCTTTCCTCGGCGGAGCTCGCCCAGCCTCCGCGCCCAGCCCCCCAAGGAGGCACCTGGAGTGAGCAGGGAAGAGGCCCCCTCCCCAGGTGGCCTCCCGCTCAGAGGAGCCGGCCAGGAAATTAGGGGCCCCAAGACTCGTGGGCGAGCAACGACATATATACATGTACGCCCTCCGCGGTCTTGCCTGCACGAACGTCCGCGTTGACACGCACTCCAAGGGAAACTAGCCGCGTACGTGTACATATGTTGCTGGCCTCTGCTTAAGGTGGTGCCTGCGGACCGCGCACAGAGGCTGAGAGGGAGCTCTACAACGGATCCTTCCTGGAGTCATCCAGGCAAGGCAGCCCGTGCGAACCATACCGCGGTCCGCCTGCGTGGTAGGCGGCGACCGCTGGATCCGCTCCCATCCCGAGCCCCTGCCCGCCACACCTATCCCCGCCGCCCCAGCCTCAGGAGGCTCGGGCCAAAGGAAGGCCGGAACCAGCGGCAGAAAAGCGTCGGGCAGAGAAACAAAACGCCTGCCTTCTATACCCCCCCCCCGGGCTCCGCACCACCGCCATCCCAACCCCACCCAACCCCCAAACCCCAGCCCACACTCCTCCGCCTTGTGGCAAGTCAGAACGAACCAGAAGACTTGGGCTGGGCGAAGGAGGGACAGAAGGGGGGGGGATCGGAGGGAGGCGAAAGCATCGGCTCGCTCGCCTCACCTCACCGTGCTGGCTGGCAGCGGCGACACCGCCCATCCCCCGCTGGAGAAGCTGGTGCAGAATGGGCAATCGCCAAAGGGAAACAACATAAGCAGGAGGCATTCGGATCACAACCCTCCCCCGCCCCACCATCCCGGGAACTCCTGGGCACAAGGCTGAGAGCGTCGCCCACCCGCGCCCCCCGCCCTCCGGCCACCCCCAAATCGGAGGAGAGGGAGGGGGGGAGGCGGGGGGGCAAGTTAGGTGCGCTCGCGTCATATCAGACGTCCTACCCTTCCCTCCCATTCCTTACCATGGCGTAGAATTCGCAGAGTCGGATGTCGAGCAGGGCAATGTTCGCGAGAGGGTGCGCGATGCATGGCCGAGCACGGCGTGGCATGGCGTGCAAAACAATTGCAGACCGTAACGTGCCGTAGCATGGCGTGGCACTGCGTAGTGACATTGCATCACAAAGCGTTGCAGCGCAACGCATGGCATCGCACAGCGGTGCAGAAAACATGGCGCCGAGTTCCTTGGAGGGTAAATGGATCGTCTTCGAGAGGCCTGGGCCGGTCTGGAGTCGTGGCTCCACGTCTAACTCCTTGGGCTCCCCCGCACAAGGCTGGGCTGATGGAGAGCACCCGCTGGCCCTGCTTCCAACATCGCCTTCTCAAAACAGAAACAGGGCTCCCGCTTGATACTTACTGAAAACGACGACGCCCCCAAATGGAGGTGTCTTCTGCGGCCCAGCAGGAACAACGAATCGGCACCGAATGTGTACTCATTTCCGATGTTTTTTTTCGGGAGGGCATTTTCTACATTTTGGGGCCTATCTGGAAGAACTGAAAACGCCCGCGCTGCAGCAGGAGCACGATTTGGAGCAACCAGAGGCGCAGAAATGGAGCCAGCGCTGAAGCTGGAGCAGAATTTTGAACAATAAACACAGCGAACAGCAATTTCGCTGGAATCCGGCGGAAAAAACAATACGCGGAAGGGGGGCCGGACATGTTCCGGACGTCATCAGGGGAGAGAGGAGAGTAGCACTCATATGATGTAATTGCGGGGGGGGGAAATAAGGAAAGGGGCAGGGAAGGAAGGGGAAGGAGAGTGTGGAGGGAAACGACAAGGAGAAGCTTACGGAAACGCCTCCACCTCGGCGCCCCCTGCCTGCCACGCCTGGCTCCGAGGGCCAAGGCAAGCAGGCCAAGCCCGTGTGCGGATGGCGGGTGCAGGAGGGGCCGGAGGAGGGAGGAGGACAGGAAAGGGAGGGAGCAACAAAGGCGGGAGGGGAGGACGAGGGGGAGGAAGGGGGAGGAGGAACGGGGGAGGGGAGAGGAGAGGACGGGGGGGGAGAGGGGGAGAAGGGGGCAAGGAAGAACCGATGGCCGCTGCCCGCTCTGCCCGCTGCTGGGCGCCGGGCGCGCCCGGCCGCGCTGCCGGGGTAAAAGGTCCGGACAGGACCTCCGCCACGCGTCCCGGCACCCGGAGGAGGCCTGCCCGCGATGCCTCCCAGGCCCCGCAGACGCCCAGGACGTGAGCTGGGCTCCCGCCCGGGGCCACACATGCCTCACAGAGTACACTGCTGCTACTGCTGCTGCTGCGGCTGCTGCTGCTGCTTCGCCCATGAGCGCTTGCGATCACAGTGCGTGAGAATCAGAAGGCCTGCCCGCAGGCGTGAGGCTGACCGCCGTGCACGAAGGCGCGAGACGAGAAGCTTGAGGGCCAGGCCCTCTGTGAGGTCCTGGCTTGGACAGGGCAGCACTTGGGCGTATGGGTGATCCTCGAAAGCCCGCGCACGGACTGAAAGACAGGGCCCCTATGACCACCTCCTTCGCGTCGAGCTTGTAAGCTGCGCTGGTGCCTGCGTGCCGCGCTTGCCAGACGGGCCGATCCTTGATTCCCCAGCTCTGGAGCAGGCGAGAGACGCCGTGGCCCAGGAGGGGTGGCCCGCCTCCTGCTACATCCTACACATTGCACCGTACAGGTTGTCATCTGGCAAGGACCGCAGGGCTGCCCTGCGCGCTACCGCATCCACAACTGCACGACCTGCACCAGCGAGGGCACACCGCGGCTCGGAGACCGCTGCATCTACATTCTTCCGCGGCTGGGCTAAGAAAGCCTGCGCCCACCGGGCATAGCCCCCATCCAGGACGGCGGAGGCCCTGGACTGCGTCAGCGGCCGAAGCGGCATGAGCCCTCCATGACTGATGCGAGCGCTCCCGTTGCCAATGCGAGAGGGGGCCCCTCCGTCGGCGACCCACCCCCCCAGGCTGGCACACTGGTGGGCACTCGCTGCTGCCAGACGCCTGCAGAGGAGGGGTAGGAAATCCTGCTCAAAGGCCAAGCCAGAGATGCCGCGCCACTGGGTTGACTGGTACCGGAGCCTGGCCTACCTGGCGCAGCTGCAGCCGCGGCCACTCTGCGCGGGCTGCGGACAGCCTGGCTCCGCCGACCAACATGGCTGCATGTTTTGCTGGCTTCGTGTGCGGCGAGGCCTTGTACTTCCATGCCCACGCCGCCAACATGTCCACCGAGGCCTGCGCATTGCCCCGCGATGATGCAAGAAGCAGGGGGCATCCGCATGAAAGATCGCAGCGAGGCGCCTCGGGGCGAGACGGTCCAGCGCTTCAGCCGCGGATGCCTTGAAACGCTAGACCGGAGGAGAAGACGGAGGAAGAGGCCTCTTGTTTCGGGGGCGGCCAAGAGGGGGGCGTCCAAGAGGGGGGGGCGCAAATCATGGCCGGCGGCATGTGCGCGGCCCATGGGGGGGGGGGGCGGGAACGTATTGAAATAAGAAGAGGCGCCATGAAATCTGGGATGATATCCACCCCCCTAGTCATCACCCCCCCTCTTTGCCGCCCCCGGTTGTTCTGAAGTCCCGCCCAGGGGCAGAGACGATCACTTACACTGGGGCGCGGCGGCCGATCTCGACGAATGGAGCCCGACTCGTTGCTATAGCTCGAGCTGTGTGCGAGCCGAGCGGAGCGCTGTTCAGTCTGCTGCTGAGCCACCTGCAGCACGGCCTCGGGCGAACAACTCACTGCGCTTGTCATGAGCGTGGAAAGAAAATACAAGAACGGCGCCCATGCACCGTACTATGTCTGGACTCCGTTGAGGCCCCGCCCCAACGTGGGGTACGGTGCACAATTCTTGGGCTCCTAAGCGCCGACAAACTATGCACCGTACCACTCCTGGGTCGCAGATCGACAACGCTTCGGGAGACACCAACGCGGTACGGTGCGTACACATCGTCCGAGGAAGAAAATAATCACCAGCCGAATTATGTTGCTTCGAACGGTCCCCACTGGAACCTTGAACGTTTGTTCCCGACGGCGCACGGTCGCCTGATTGGTCGACGGCTGCCTTCTCTGGATTCAGAAAGCGGTTCAACTGTATTCCATGTAGTCACGTTCTTTCATGTTGTGCTCTACTATGTCCTGTGTTCTCGACAGGCCGGCGTGACCTCGTGACGCCTGTGACGTTAGATGCGTCATCTGTTACGATGTTCCTCTTAACTTGTGTTTCTCTTCTGATTTAGAATGTTCTGTTATGCTCATCGCTGCCACCATTTGAGATGTTGTGATATGCTATGCTCTGTGGCACTATGCTATGGCTTGATGTACTATGTCGAACTATGTCGAATTATGACTTGTTCCGTGATGACGTTGGGAGCTCGGCCCAGTATAGTATGTTATAATATGCTGTGCTAATATGATTCGTTCTGCTCTGGTACGTGCTGTGATGTTCTGTTATGCCCTGTGTTGTCATGGAACTGATATGTTCTGCTCTGTCATGCTCGTGTTTCGTTCTGTCACGTTCTGCTGTGACATGTTGTGTTCTGTCGTGTTCAGCATCTCTATGCTCTGTGGTGTTATTGTCTGTTCTGTGATGATGATCTGTTTTGTCAACATGTGTTATGTTATGCTCGGCTCTGTTCTGCTATGGTTTGTTCTGCCGTCTTCTGTTATGCTATGATATGGCATGCTGAGGAGGAGGAGGAGGAGTAGGATGAGGGGGAGGAGGGGGAGGAGGAGAGAGCAAGCTAGGTGCGCTCGCGTCATATCTGACATCCTACCCCTCCCTCCCATCCCTTACCATGGCGTAGATCCCCTCTCTACTCGCACAGTCGGATGTCGAGCAGGGCAATGATCCCGAAAGGGTACGCGATGCATTGTAGAGCACGGCATGGCATGGCGTAGAAGAGCACCACAAAGCGCAGCATCAACCGAGCATTGCATTGCATGCCGTGGCATGGCACGGGAAACGACGCCAACGCTGCAGCGGGAGCACGAGTCGGAACGAGCGGAAGCGCGGAAATGAGGCCAGCGCTGCAGCGGGAGCACGAGTCGGAACGAGCGGAAGCACGGAAATGAGGCCAGCGCTGCAGCGGGAGCACGATTCGGAACGAGCGGGGCCCGAAAATGAGGCCGGCGCCTCAGCGAGAGCAGCATTTTGGAAACAAATGCAGGCGAAAACCCAACTCCGGGGAATCCTGTGTGTAAAAAACAATACGCGGGGGGGGGGGGGGGGGGCGAATACTTTCAAACCGTCATCAGGGGAAGATGGTGAGTAGTATTCATATTGAGTACTTGTAGAGAGGATATAGCAGCAGCAACAACATGCGGGCAGCGCGAAGATGGAGGAAGGCCGCGCGAGTTCAGCGAAATGCCGAGCTCGACGCCTCGTCCCAGCGCCGGCGCGGTGGCAGAGCGCGCGGCAGCTCCAGCTCCCAAACTCGACGCACACATCCCCCAAGAACGTGTTACCCAGACCACGAGACAACCTTCGGCTGAAAGATGGACTGAGCGATCTGCTGCATGCAGCCGCTGCAGTCCCACCCGGTTGCGATTCCAAGCGGCCGACGGAACCGCAGATGGAGAAACCGAGACTCTGGCTAGCGGTTCCCACTGGTAAGGGATGACTCCAGCATCGCGGTCCACGTGGAGTTGCGCGGGAGGGTAAAGGCCGAGAAGAGAGAGAGAGAGAGAGAGAGAGAGAGAGAGAGACAAAAAGAGAGAAAAAGAGAGAGAGAGAGAGAGAAAAAAAAAAAACGAAACACATCATGAAGTTGACAGCGTGCACGCTCCCTGGCGATGACCGAACGAAATTTTGCCCAGCCCAACACAGATAGGCATGCGCCGACCAGCAGGGGCCTCCACCACGAAGTCCCGCCAGCGCCCAGGCCCGAGACGGAGGGCCGCTTGGAGATGCCGCAGCCGCGCTTGGAGGGTCGCACGGAGCGGGCCGAGCATGCGAATAATGAACTGCTTGCCCAGCTGTGGGAAAAAACACACACACACAGTCTGTGGGGAAAAAACACACACAGTCTCTGTGTGTGTGCATTTCCCACGGTGTGTGTTTTTTCCCCACAGTGTGTGTGTTTTTTCCCACGGGAGCGGGCCGAGCATGCGAAGAATGAGCTGCTTGCCCAGCTGTGGGCCCTCGAGGCGACACTGATCATCCAACGGCTACCCTGCATCCTGAAGCCAACCTCCGATCGCAGCTTGAACGTGTAGAGAGGCCACCTCATCCTTCCCACTGATTGCAGAGACCGTGAAGTCCTTAGGGCGATCCCACTCAGCAGTCCGTGCAGGAGGCTCGCCAGGGGGCTGGGCCTTGGCCACATCCAGCTCAGACTCGAGCTTGGCAATGCGGCACCCCATGTCCTCCTGCAGGGCAGAGACCGTGTCAATCTTAGACTCCGCACCGTGGAGACGGGACGGCAGGGCCTCGAAACGCTGGGCCACCCGCTCGTCGAACTGCTTGAACAGGGGGCCGGTCGCGGTCTGGAGGGCACTCGGTAGGGTAGCTTGCATCGAAGCCAAAAAAGTACGCGACATCTCAGCCATGCACGTAGCTTGGAACTCCTTGAAGGCGGACTCGTGTGCCGCCTGCAATTCCTCCGCGCAAGGAGGTAGCCCAGGGGTTCAATGTCGGAACCGACGATCCCGTAGCTTCAGGAGCACCTGGAGACAGAACACCAGCAGCCTTTGCCTGACCGCCTGACCATCCCGCCTATGAGCAGCAATAGCGCCGCGAAGGCCAGAGCCATCACGCGCAAGAGGAGCCGGCCACGGCGACGGGCCCAAGCTTGCGGAAGCAGCACCAGAATGAACACTTCCATCATGAGCCCAACCCTGACCACCGAGTTCTTGCGACGAGAGCGCGGGGGCAGCCTCGAGCTGGGCCAGGAACTCGACGTCCGCCAGGGTAGACGCAGCTGCGGCAGCACGACCCGCATCGCGTGCATCGCGCGCAGGAGGAAGGCCGCCGCGGTCACTCCGCGATCTAAGCGAGCCGCGTCCAGGGGTCCCCGCTGGTGATGCCGCAGCCCTGCCAGGCGGGCTGGCTGCAGGGCGACGCGACGCACGAGCACTCGGGGAGGCAGGCGGCGTCGATGCCACAGAGATGTCAGACCACCCGTCGCTAGTCCGAGGAGTAGCAGCACGATCACAATCACGACGACTGGAGGTGCTAACTTCACCTTTGGCTGTTTTCTTGGACTTGCCATCTCGCTTCTCCTTCTTGCGGGCATGGCTTGACTCAGCAGTGAACGAACGATGGATGCTGTGTCGCCTGGAGAGGCTGGCGCAACGGTGCGCTGAAAGAGTAGGATCTAGCCGCAGACTAGCGGTATCTACGTGTTCCTCTGTGGGGGACAGCGCATCTTGAGCCATAGTGGCTACGGTGGGAGGAGGAGGAGGAGGAGGAGGAGGAGGAGGAGGAGGAGGAGGAGGAGGACGAGGAGGAGCAGGAGGAGGAGGAGGAGGAGGAGGAGTTTTCAACATCAACCGCAGAGAGAGGTGAGGGCCGACAGATTGAAACAGCCTGGGCTGAGACAAAAGCTGGCGGCAGCGGACCAAGGCGGTGGCCGACGCGCACGACGGGCACCCCAGGGACCGAGGTCAGTCGGAGTCGTCAGACCCCGCAGACCTAACGCGAGCAGCTCCAGCGACGAGCGGGGCCTCATCCTCCTCGGCTTGGAGGCGAAACCTTACCCTGCGGAGCTGCTCTTTCCCCCCCCCCCCCCCCCGCCTTGGGGGGGGGGGCGGAAAGGCCCCCCCGCCCCCGCCGCTTTGGGGGGAGAGGAGGAGGAAGAAGATCCCAGGGCACCAGGCGGCCCAGCCCGTCCCGCCCCCTCCCCATTGCACGCGCGAGAGGACGGCGGGGCGACGGGTGGGGGGGGGCGGCGCGGTCGCCTGGCTGTCGGCCGAGACGGCCGTCGCGGAGTGGCCGAGGAAGAGAGCAGCCTCATCCTCCGCCTCATAATCGTCGAAAAAGCCTGGGTGCCAATCCTGTCCCCTAGATTCACTCACAGGGGCCTGGGCAGCAGGCGTGTCGGAGGCTGGGCATGAGTCACAAGAGAGGGGTCCCTCCGATGCGCTCGCTGGAATATCATCCAGCCCCGTCGAGAGACTGATACCTGACTTGGGGTGCTTGCCTTTCAAAATCTCACCCCAAGCATGCATTCTACCGTGATCAGACTTGCACTTACTATCTGGAGGTCCAACACAAGTCTTGCCGAGGTTCCTGACTTGCCCGCCGCGCGTGTAATAGCAACAGCGGGTGCAGGCGACAAGAATGCCTCCGCCCTGATTCACATCAAAGAAAATGGGTCGATGGCCGTGGTCAATCAAGCTCTGACCCGTGAGACCTTTGATAGTGGCCGCGCCGCGGCACCTACCAGGAGGGGGCCTTTGGGGTCCACGGGCACACCGAAAACACAAGGCGCACATCCAAAACCTGCCTTTCCAGGACCAGGAATGAGAGGGCAGAGGAGGAGGCCTCGGAGCAGAGGGGGGCTTGGTCCTGGAGTCCTCCGAAAGATCGAGCTTCGGCCAGAGAGACATCGCCCGAGCCGCCAGCCGACAGACAGCCCTCGAGACACGCGCCGCACGCACAGCGCGATCAGCGTCCCCTGGAGCAGGGGCGGGGTGCCTCAGGGCGGCAAGGCGAGCAGCCTGGTCAGCACAATCATTGCCAAACTTATGGGCACGCGCTTCTGGGGTGAGATCTGGGCTGTCAGGGACATGGCCCTTGCCCTTGCTGACGGCGCTGGCGATAGGACCCAACGCCTGAAGCATAGGGCCCGCGTAAGGGCGACGAAAAGACAGCCTCACGGGGATCGGGTCGAGAGAGGCGTTGACCACACACTGGCAGTCACTACAGATGTGGCTGCCTTCATCCCCACGCTGGGAGGCCGAACAATAAGCCGCGTACTCAGCAGCTTGAGACGTTTGGGGGAAATGCGCCAGGAGGGGGCCTGAAATAACACACTGAACATCCCCTTCTTCAGAAACGCTAGCCACCGACCACCCCGCCCTGGAGAGCTCTGGAGACACATTTCTAAAACAGGAGCCGTCTACATAGAGCCTACCGACGAGGTTGGTGCCGCGGTTGTTCGGGTCCCCCGTCCAAGAAACCTGGATACCAGAGCCTGGGCCGTCAAGTTCATGAGCAGGGCGTGGAAGGTAGTCACCTGGATGCACATATAAACCGCGGGTGTACAAAAAGGTACTGCTCAGGATCGCGTTCTGCAGTGAGGTCCAGAGGGGGGGCGAGCCGAGCATCTCTACCTTGTACTTCCTTGCGGGTATCATCGCACGCAGGGCAGCGCCATCATCTGTGAAGGATTGTGCCGTCAGCGCTGCCACATAAATCACATAGCACATCACTCTGCTCGTAACCAGCGTCGCGTGCACGAGTCTTGGTCCACGCCGCTGAGCAGGCCAAGGCTTTAATGGGGCCCTTCTCGCGCGGGGTCCACTTCGAAGACTGCAGCGCGGCATGCGCCTGGTCATGACATACGCGAACGGGCTGCTGGAAAGTCGGCAGGAACTTCGCTCCAGCACGACGCTCATGCAGGTGCAAGACAGCCTGCCTAAGATGACGCTTCAAAAGAGCAGGACTGACCTAAGTGAGCGGCAGGTCGATGCCGAACTGATCCCTCATCACCGTGAAACTAGGCATCGACCAGCCAATACGCCGAAGGCTGAGCTTCATAGCACTGATGGGGCCCGAAACCTGCTTCCAGTTATCGGGCCCAGGTCCCAAGAACACAGACTCCCAATACGATCTGAGTTCATGCCAGGACAGAGTGAACGTAAACGTGCGCATGTGGGTCCCCCAGAGCTCTTTGGCGTACCTCAAGATGGGGGCGATGGGCCCATAGTAAGTCGGGTCTTTGTCCAGGATAACAGCTGAAGTGAGCGAGCGGGATCCAGCCTTGGGCCTGATACAGCGACCAAAAGCACGATGAGCGATGCCCCATTCCCTGTCGGAGACCCCGTGGACCTCACTCCCGTAGTAGTAGCCTGGCAGGGGCCCAGTGATAAACAGCTTCCTGGAGTGCCTACCTATAGCCTGTCGTATCTTCTGCAGTCGTTTAGTCTTGTGCTTCAACGTGAGCATGCGAAGCTTGAACACCTTCGACCGATTCGGGGCCCGACGGGGCCGTCCCGAGGTGTGATCGATCCCAAGGTTCGCTGCAGAAGAAACAACCCGCTTGCCAGCAAGTGCTCCCAGTCGCTTACGGAGGGCAGCAGCAACGCGCCGATGAGATGCCACAAGGTTGGCCTTCTCATGTGAAATGCTGCCCCCGGTGTCGTTCACAATGGCATCGTGCAGGGAGGTGGCCGCCTCGGACAGGTCGTATATTACTTCTGAAAAAAAAAAGTACCAACCGTCGACACTCCGTAATCATCGATGTACACGTCGAGCGAAACTGTCTTCGGGATTCCTGCCGAGTCGAAGGGCCCTATGATAAATAGCCTGGCCATCGTCGTGGCAAAAGGGCGTCCTGCAACTACTCCGTTCACCGCGTAAAAGGGGCCTCGCAAGATCTGTCCCATGGTGATGAAACGAGCGTTGCGATACATGGCTACCACAAACCTCGCAACAGACATATCGAAACCATATTGTGCACATCGGTGGAGGAGGAGGTCGAGGTTGATAGACTCGATACATTTCACCAGGTCCCACAACAATATAGCCGAGACCTTACCATCATGCACTGCAACCTCTCCCTTCACCGACTGCCGCCACGCCGCATCAGTAGATGAGGTGAACTTGCCTGCTGCAAAAAACGGCCGTCGATTATCTTCCTCCCATCTCGTGGCACATCCTCTCCTCCCCTTCCCCCAAAGACGGTGGATAGAGGAGGAGAGGCCAATCGGCCGAAAACCTCCAACCTGCTTGCCAATGAGAGACATAATGGTAACTGCCGCCTGCTTGGGAATGAGGCTGCTTACTTCCATGGCAGTGTAGATAACCGAAAGGAGATCGAGGGATTCGTCCGACATCGACGCGAAGTGGCGCATGTGGAAGCCGTCGATAGAGGTAGCCGTGCCTTTCGAAAACTTGCGACTACAAGCCCGAAGATCTTCAGGAGAGAGTCGAGGAAGCGAAGGTAGAGGCTGGAAAGTGTCCGAGGCCTGAGGGGTGCAAGTGCGAGCGTGCGACAACTCCGAATACTGCGCAGCCTGAGCGTCAAGGAGAGCCTGGGGGTCAGCCACGACGACACCATTCGACAACAAAGCCGTAGCGGGAGCCCACGGGTTGAAGCCACGAACAACAGAGTGGGCACGCTTCGCCCCTGCTTCAACTTTATCTAAAAGCCACTGCTTCCAACCTGCAAGAGCCTCCTGCTGAGCAATCGCCTCAGCAGCCGACACTGCCACATCTAGATTCGCACAGATCGATTCGCAATTCGCCTGGTTGAAAGGCTGCTCCACAGCTGCGCGCACTTCATCATGCCAGCGCTGGTGATGCACCAAGCCTTCTCTCACGAACGACGGAGGTGCACAAATAGTTGAACGAAGCTCGCCGGCCTGACACTGCTCACCGGTGTCGGAAGCCTCGCTGTGAAGGGAGATGCACATTCGAAACTTCAGATGTAGCCACTTGGTAGCATAGTATAAAGGCTGGCGCGCTGGAGGCTTCCTGTCCTGCTCCAACACAAGCGCCCAGTACATCTGCGGGGCCTTGGCCCTCGATCCGAGACACGGGAGCTGGACGCCTCTTGAGTTGGCCAACTCCCGCTCAGTCAATTTAGCCCAGGAAGAATACACCGCATCTAACAGCTTCTGGACAGGCAGGGACTTCCCAGACTCGACGGCACCCAAGAGTTGTTGGCCCAGAGCCCGAGCTTGTTCCCAAGTGGGAGGCTTCGGCGGAGGTCCAACAATGGGGTCCACAGGGATGGGTGGGGGGCGGCGGAACTTCAGACCATAAAGCTGCGCCAGCTGCGGGTAGAACTCCAGAGAGACAGGCGAGTGTGGTGACGTGCGCGCGTCGTGTTCGACAGACACCTTCGACGGCCCCTTGGACAGCCCACTGGAAACCACAAAATAGTCCAGCAGCCGAAACCCACCAGTAGAAAGACAAGATCCAGAAGCAGCCTCAGGAACCACAACTCTGCCCCCACAGGATCTCGCAAACTCAGACTCCTGGAAAAGCGAAGGTTCCATATTGAAATCAGCCCCAAGAGTGTAAGGTCCTGCCCAAACTTCCAACGCCGCCGCCACGTGCGACAAGAGGCTGACGTTCGAGTCGCTGAGCCCCTGCGAGTGGTGCAAATACAGGCTGGAGACATAGACCGAGTCGCCACCTGGAATGTTGATGATGGCACCTACCGCCCTGTGTGGGAACAAAACATGTCCACCTGAGGGCGGACGGAGACCGAGGAAACTACGAACCATAATGCCAACTCCAGCCGACGTACCCCCAGAGGGGGTAGAGAGGGCAGGAGTGAGAAGGATTTGCCACCCGTGGACCTTGGCCCAAGAAGAAGCACGATCAGCTTCATCCCATTGACGAAGGTGATGCTCCTGCAACAGGATGACGTGCGACGTGCAGTGCGGTAGCCATCTCTGCAGGGACGACCAGGCAGTGCAGTTCAGGGTCTCAACTTTCAGGGAAAATTGAGCTTCTCCAGGGGGTGGAGGGGGCACTAAAAAATCACGGGCGGGTTCGGCACACGCCCACACCGCCCCACTAAAGTTGCCAGAGGTCTGGGCCAGGGACTCCAGAGGCCTAGGCTGGGAAGACGGGCCAGGGCCCCGAGACGGGCGCGGGGACTGGGCCGAAGAAAGACCATCTTGCCTGCTGACCCTGATGCTCGCTCGGGCGGCCAGCGCCGACGACGAGGAGTGGGTCAGGCGGGTATTGGCACAAGCCAGGACGCAGCGGGGGGGAGGAGTAGGAGGGAGGAGGAGGGACGCGGGGCGCTGTTTCTTCAAAGCCATGACCCAACACCAAAGGATGGTTGGGAAAAACAAAACCCTCCAATAATTGAAACATTTCTTAGGGGACGGCTTAATGACGGATTAGGACCCTGGGGAACCTAATTCCCCCGCGGCGGCCACTGCTGATGATCGGGGGGGATGAGGATCCCTGATGTTGGTGATGCTGATGCTGATGCTGATGCTGCTGCTGATGATGATGATGATGATGATGATGCTGCTGCTGATGCTGATGCTGATGATGATGCTGCTGCTGGTGAGGGAAGGACGAGGACGGGGAGTACAAATCAAATTGACAGCCGCGAGCTAAGGGGGGGGGAGTGGCTGGTTAGCATTAGAAACCCTAATTACTGCCCCCAGGGGTGCACCCTGACCAATTTGTCATCCTGAGCTGTGTTTTGCAAGTGCCTGGCAAGGGTCCCTTGCAGAGGCCAACAATTGTCCAAAACCTCCCGCCGTGTTTTTCACGACGCGAGGGAGTCTGGGACTAGACCGTGCGGTCAGGGACTTTTTGTCAGCGTGTTGCGGCGGCGGCCCTGGTGATAAGCTCTGCCCTGCGAGACTATGTATATAAATGTGTATATGTATATATGTATATATACATTTATATGTATCGCTCCGCTCCGCTTCGCGGGGAGGGAGGCTAAGAAAAGCTTGGGCCACTGGTGCCTGGGGGCCGGCACGTAGTTGGCGTGTCGCGCCGGAAGCGTGGTGGGCCAGACTCGACGGCGCCACACGCGAAGCAAACGCTCCCGGTGGCTTTCGGGCCATAGCCACACCTCGGACCCCAAGCGGACGTTCGGGGCGATCTGGGCACCAGTGGATAGCTCTCGGCGAGGCACAGCTGCTGGAGAGCATCCCGAAGCTGGGAAAAATTGGCGACCTCCCGCGAGAACGCCCGAAACCTGGAGCCGGCGGGGCGACACGCTGAGCAAAACTCCCCGTCCATGCTCTGAGGCCCGACGAGGCCGAACAAAGATTGCACATCGTGGAAGACCAGGACCAGAACCCTGGACCCCGTGCTTCTGCTGCGCTTTCGGAGCCGGGTCGACCTGTCCAGGCCCCAGGGCCCAGAACCTGACGAAAACGCCCGGCTCGAAACCATTGCGACGCCAAGGCCTCAGGGGGCCTCTGCTCCGCCAGACGCTCGCGAGGCGGGGGCGGCCGGTATCCTCTGGGGCCGCGGGCGCTTCAGCGGCGGGCGCCGCCGCGGCGGCGGGCGCAGCGTCGCTGGCCGGGCCCGCAGCAGACTGAGCGCGGCAGGGAGGGGGGATGCGCTGCCGTCGCCGCAGGATGCGCGCGAGCATCAAAGTGTGTGTGGGGGTGGGTGGGCGTCCAGCGCCCCCCCTCACCCACGCACGATCCATATCGCTACCCGGGGGTGGGGCGGTGGTGTGTGTGTGTGGCCCGGGTGACGACCGTTACGCGCCAGAGGATAACAAAAACAACATCTGTCGGCCTCTGCCCCCCTTCGTCCGTGTCGAGTTCCTAGCGGATTCCACCCACTCCGTGCCAATGTCGTAATTACCCATGTCTACGGCGGCGAGCCTGGGGGGAGGTGAGAATGGGCGGGCCTTCACAGAAGGCTCGGAAGTCCCCTGGCCTTCTGAGAAATGTTCGAAGCCTTCCTCGAACACGCAGAAACAACCTCTCTGAAGGCCAGCGGCCTCCTGAGAAGCCCCGCCGCCCTCTGAGAAGGCGCTCTCCCTCTCACTTCCCCCCCCCCCCTGCTCGCCGCCGAAATGTCCACTTCTCTCGTGCAGAAAAGAAACCCTTGCGGACTTCTCGGATCCGTGCTCTCGCCATCGCTCGGACGTCCATTTCCTGTGTTTTTTTCGGTTTCGTGCGTGGTTTTTTCGCCAAATGATCAAGGATGCTCCTCGATGGCCCTCGCCGAAGGAAAAATGCACACGTCCGAGCGATGCCAAGCGCTGGGCCCACCGGCGCGCGGCGGCGCGCCGGCGATCGCGGCGGCGGCGAGGTGCAGGGGGCGGGGTGGGGGGCCTCCCTCTTCCCGGCCGTCTGCGGCGCGCAGGCGAGCTCGGGGGAGGGGAGGTGCAGGGGAAGGGGGGGCCTCTCTCCCTCTCGCTCTCCCTGCCTTCCTCCCCCCTGCCACCCTCCCTCCCTCCCTTCGTCGCCCCCTCTACGTGAAGATACACCTTTCTCTACACATGCATAGACACTTGAATTCCATACCAGCTCTGTCCCTATATCCCTCTCTCTCAATATCCATATCACTCTCTCTCTCTCTCTTCGGAGGCGGACGAACCGGAAAAGGGGAGGACCGAACTGGCGGTTGCAGAAGGGGCCCCCCAAACCTGCACTCTCCGACGGGGGTGCACCAGGCTCAGACCGTCGCTGAAGGGCAAGGCTTATGCTGCTCCCATCGCCTTTGGGAGAGCAACATCCCAGAAGTAAGTTCGAGCACCCAGAGAAATATCGAAACAGTGTCGGACGAGCATCGCAGCATCGCCTCCCGGGGCCCGACACGTGAACCACCCTCCGGTTTCGGTGCTTTCTTGGCGCTCGAAGTGGCAGGGCGTGTACGAGGAGCCGAGGCGCCGTGCGAGAGAGGTGCGCGGGGACACGGGCGCCAGGCGCTGCGTCGGCGAGGTGTGGCACGGGGCCCCGACGAGAAGGCGGAGAGCGGGGGGGGGGGGCAAGGAGGCCATGAGAGAGACTGGGGCAGAGGTGGTGGGACGGGAGTGCGGGCACGACGCAGACCCATGCAGCAGGGGGTCCGTCCGCAGGAGGCCCTCCACAAGAGACCCAGCCCTGAGACCACCGGGCGTCCGTCGATTTTCGGCGTGGGAGCGTCACGCTTTCCATTGCAAAACCATCGGAACCCAAGGAACGGGGGGCACCCTGGAGGCAAGCAAGGTGTTTGGCATGGCCCCCCACTGTATCCACTGCGTCCTGGACTCTCTGGGAAGGGGCGCCAACAGGCCGCGGCGCAGCGGATACGGACAAACAAATCTGACCTCTAGGGGCGAAGTTCCCTTATCCATATCCACGGCGCTTCTGGCATCGGAGGATGGGAACCCGAAGCTCTCAGACGCAAGAACATGGACAAAAATCGTGCCCGCGGGGAATGTGGGGGGAGAGGTCGGAAAACATTCAAGCATGCGCACTCCAACGGCAGACGGACACAGGAGGCCTCGTCAGCGCGACCACTGCCCGACACGTTCCTCCTGAAGACCGCCCCCTGTAGCCAACGGAGAGCACGCCGCACGTAAAACCCCCTCGGTGCGGTCCTCTTTGAGAGCCTCCACAAAGTCCTGGGACAGCATGCGACTGACCTCGGGCATGCCGTGGGACTTTACCGCATCGTTGAGCTTCGTCATCAGCCTCCCAACGCGGGCCTCATTCCCTCCCCCCTCCTCCTCCGCCTCCTCCTCCTCTTATTCCCTCTTCTTCCTCCTGCTCCTCCTCCTCCTCCTCCTCCTCCTGCTGCTCTTCCTCCTCCTCCCCCTGGCGCCAGCCTGCCGAGCCTGTCAGGTGGCCGATGCGTATGTCAGGCCAAGGCCAGGAATTCACCGAGTGATCGAGTGAACCGTCGTGCGACCTCGGGAAGAAATGCGGCTTCCTGCCATAAGGACATGCTCAGTGATGTTCAACAGCTTGCGCAACAGTAGCATCCAACGGCGCGTGAAACTCAAGGGACACTCGAGATTGTAAGTGTGACTTCTCAGGCATCCTGCCGAAGGAATGCTCGACCACGGCGGCCGCCCAGTAAACGATGGCCTTGGAAACTGCCGGCCATGCCCGCCCGATGTTTTTGCTGTGTGAGCTCCGCTCGGACGCCGCATGGTCCGCCATCGTGGCCCCCAGCAGACCGATATCACGCCCCTGTGCTGCCTGGCTGCGCTTACGTCGTTTTCTAATGTGATCCTTCCTCGCCGCAGTCACCTGCCCGTATCGTCTCCGCCCCGTCCCTGTTCCCTCCGACCGCTTGCCAGGGCCCCAGCACAATTCAGGCACTCTACATGCGACCCGAAGGGCAGGGCCGCTGGACCATGTGGCGGGAGCGTCAACTCCGCCTTGGATTCGTGAGGCAGGGGGCATTCACCCTGCATGGGAGGATCTTGTGGGAGCCCCCCGTGGGAAACATGAACGATCGTTGGTCCGATGGCCCGCGTTCGCACGACGGCTGCCCCGGGAGATCATGAATCACAGCAGAACCCGCGCTGTGGATCTTCGATGGCCCGCAGCCATGCCCGGCTAGCAACCCAAGATCAGACTTGAACTCTGGACCATTGACACGCGTGTGATGGCAGGACTCAGAGACCACACATCGCCCCAAGTCTGGATCTCAACGGCCAGCAAGGGCGTGCAAGCTGCACTCCAGCATCCTGAGCCGACCCACCATGCCGACCCAACACGCCAACTCTGGAGCTCGGATGGCCTGCAACAGTGTAAGCCATGTGCCCTGGGGTAGACACAACTCCTCTCCTGGCGCTAATTCTGGAGCTTCGATGGTCCGTAAACGCAGTCTCGGAATTGGACCGGCCAGTGTGAACCTAAAGCTTGGCCTCTGCTCCTCTGGTCCTCGATCCTCCCCTTTGGTCCCCACATCGGCCCTCTGCGTTTTCCTCGTCGTCTTCTTCTTCCTCCTCTTCCCCGCCCTCCTCAATCCTCATCTGTTTCCGCCCCCCCCACCGCCTCTCCCTCTTCCCGCTGGAGAAGGAGACAGACGAGGAGGAAAACGACGAGGAAACCGCAGAGGGCCGAGGAGGGGGAGTAAATGGGAGAATCGAATGGAGACCCAGAGGAGCAAAAGCCAAATTTTCAGTTCAATGGCCTTTCCTATTAGCCGACTGTGTTTCCTCCTCCTCCTTCACCTCATCATTCTCATCCCCATCATCTTCAACATCATCATCAACATCACCATCAACATCAACATCAAACTAAACATCAGCATCAGCATCAACAGCAGCATCAACACAGGCATCAACACCAACACCAACACCATCGTCATCATCACTAGCACCAGCATAAGCAGCACCATCATCACCACATCATCATCATCAACTTCATCATCATTATCATCATCAGCAGCAGCATCAGCATCAGCATCAGCATCAGCATCAGCATCATCATCATCATCATCATCATCATCATCATCATCGGCATCGTCATCGTCGTCGTCATCATCACCAGCATCCGCATCCGCATCCGCATCCGCATCCTCATCCTCCTCATCCTCCTCTTCAGCATCATCTCATCACCATCATCATCAGCATCATCACCAGCATCAGCATCAGCACCAGCATCAGCAGCATCATCCTCATCCTCGTCATCATGAGCATGATTATGATCATGATCGTGATCAGCATCATCATCATGACCAGCATCAATATCATCATGACCATCACCATCGTCATCGTCATCCTCATCGTCATCGTCGTCGTCGTCCTCGTTGAGCCCCCTATGAAGCCACGAAGCGTGCGAGGGGTCTGCCGAGTTGTTGGGGTGGGCGCATGCGGGCGCTGCCACCGGGGCCTTCGGGGGAGCTCCCCAAGAAGCCACGAGACGTGCGAGGGGTCTGCCAAGGTGGTGTGGTGGGGGGGGGCGCATGCGGGCGCTGCCACTGGGGCCTTCGGCCTTCGCTCGGACGTTCATTCCCTGTGTTTTTTTCGGTTTCGTGCGTTGTTTTTTCGCCGAGTGATCAAGGATGTTCCTAGAGGGTCCTCGCCAACGGAAAAATGCACACGTCCGAGCGATGCCAAGCCCTAAGAAGACACGAAGCGCGCAAGGGGTCTGCCATGGTGGTGTGGTGTGGTGGGGGGGGGGCGCACGCAGGCGCTGGCACTGGGACCTCGGTGGGGCTGCCTGCAGTGGAGGTCCACAAGAAACCATTCCACAAGGAACCCAGCCCCGAGACCCCACGACGTCCATGGATTCTTGGTGTTGGAGCGTCGCGCCTTCCATAACAGAATCATCGAGGCCCAAGAAGCCCAGGGCACCCTGGAGGCAAGCAGGGTGCTTCTGGGCATGGGTCCCCGCTGTATGGGGCCACGAAACGTTTTGAGGGGGCTTGCCAACAGCGGGGTGGACGCACGCGGCCCCTGCCGCTGGGGCCAGTGGGGCACAAGGAAGGATGACCTGATGCTGCTGATGGTGGAGAAGACGATGATGACGACGGCGATGACGATGCCGTTGATGATTATGATGACGAGTGGTTTGGACGACGACGATGCGGACACGCGGGGAGCAGGAGGAATGGGAGGAGGAATGGGAGGAAGGAAAAAAGAAAGGAACGATACGCGGGGGCACTGCTGATTCAAGATGGGGGCCCAACAACACGGGATGACTGGGGAAGAACTCAACACGGGATGACTGGGGACGAGCTACATTCACCACATCCCCTAATATGGTCCAACTCCGGGACTGTGGTAAACGCGTGAAGGTTTCACTGTCAAGCCATGTGTCGTGCGCTCTCACAAGCTTTGCCACGGTTGTTTGTTGCTCTTGGTGTTTGTCTTGTTGCTGTTGCTGTGTGTCTTGTTGCTTGTGCTCTCGTTGTTTGTCTTGCTGCTGTTTGTGGTGTGTGCAGCTGTTGCTCGTTCTCTTGCTGTTTGTCTTGTTGCTGTTGTGCCCTGCTGTTGCTGCTGTTTTGCTGGTTGCTGCTGCTGTCGTGGTTGCTGTTGTTTGTGCTTGTGTTGTGTGTGTGAACACTTATGGTCAGCAACCATGTGGTGGCTGCACTCCGGTCCTCGCTCCGGAGAAGCTGCGAGGCCCCACGCACATAATACTAGCAATACTGCATCGTAATAATAATAATCATAATAATAATATTAATAATAATAATAATAATAATACTAATACTAATGATAATAATACTGGTAATAATAATAATAGTAATAGTAATAGTAATAATACTAATGGAAATACCAATATTAATAACGATATAATGATAGCTAATAATGATATATCATTAATAATGGCAATACTAATGCTATTAATAATATGACAAAAACCATAAAGGGGGCGGGGTCGGGAGGACGAGTAGGAGGAAGGGTTGGGGGGGGCCGCGCCCTCGCTCGGGCGGCGGCGCACCCCGCAGGAGAGGGGGGGGAGGGCAGCGGGCTTCGGGGAGGGGGAGAAGGGAAAGGGGGGGGAGGGGGGAATGGGCAGAGGGAGGGGGAAGGGGGAGAGTGAATGGGGAGAGGGAGTGGGAATGAGGAGAGGGGGGGGTTTGGAGTGGAGAGGGGGAGAGACGGTCCAAGATGGCCCCAATGCGGCCCAAGAGGCCTGCAAGATGGCGCAAGAGGCCTCCCAAGACTGCCCGAAGAAACCTCGACACAGCCCAATGAAACTCCAAGACGATCCGCGAAGACGGCCCATAGAGGCCCCCGAGATGGCTCCGAATACGCCCGGCGCCACAAGAGCGCCCTAAGACGGCCCAAGGAGCCCCGAAGATGCCCCGAGGTCTCCAAGGCGCCTCAAGAGAGGAGGAGGGCACAAGAAAGAGGAAGACGATGACGAACACGAAGAGAGACAACCCGGAACGCGGAAGACTGTGTCATTTTGCGCGCCCTCCCCAACCCTCAAAATACGATGTGCCATGCGTTATACGGCTGCGTGTGCGCTCCTCGAACAGCCGCGTCCCAGTGCTCGGCTGGCAGGGTGGCGGGACTTGCCGCGGGCGGCCGGACATGATAGGATCGCGCTCTGGGTTTGTGAGCGGTCCCAAGTCGCCAGCTCTTGAACTTCGATGGCCAACCTACGGGAAAACTGCGGCATGGCTGCACTAGATTGTCCTATCATTCAACTTCTGGAGCTCCGATGCGCAGTGTTTTCCGTGCCATGGGAGCAATGAGCACCTCCAGATGACCCAAGTCTGGACCCTCGATGCGTGTTTCGTATGCAACAAATTTCGTCGCTCAAGCATAGATCGGCCCACGACGCAATGTATGGCTCTTACATGTCCCCCTGCCCTGGACGATATCCAATCTGGGAATGGTCATGGGAGCTCCTGTGCAGAATCCCGAAAGAAAGGCCTCGAGATGCACCGCAGCCCCCACTTCAGCGCGTTTAAGGAGCATGTAAGAAATCACAGCCATGGACTTGCTCTTCGGCATCATTCTGGCACAACCGCTTGGTCCTCCTCATGCATGGGGCACTGAGAAGGAAGAGGAGGAGCAGGAGGAGGGCAGGGAGAAGGAGGAGGAGGACCAATGTACACCCAAGAGTCATCAACGATGTTGGAATCAACCGTCCCTCCACGCATCCTCTTCATAGGCCCCTACAGCGGTTCATTTCCACTGAGGGAACTGCCTCGTTGGAAGACAGCTGTTTGAAGACCCTGAAGCATGGCAAAACAATGCTCTCGATACTCCGACGGCACGGGTCAATCTGACTGTTGCGTCTTGACGATCCAGAATCGGGCCAGAACGCCATTCTCGGGACTCCACAACTGCGAATCAACGTAGATCCAGAATCTCTCCAAAGCACCATGTCTGGTACGTTGATCATGGGAATCCGTAAAGCAACTTGCAACTTACATGAACGAATGTGCGCGGCGCTACAGCGATAACCGCATTTTGAAAAATAATCTCCCTCAATGTGTGAACGTGATACTCTTGCAAAGTTTAAAACGAGTGTACGCGGCGCTTAAGCCAGAGCTACATTTAAAAAAACATCTGCCCTCAATCAGTGAAACTCTGGCATTTGTTACTACGAATGCGCGCGGTGCTCACGCGAGAACCACATTTTGAACACCGCCCGCCTTTCATCAATTAAGCTGTTTCCAATGTGGAAGCATCCGGGCCATACGTGGTGATGAAGTCTCAGGCGAGACGCCCAGCCCGCCCTAAAAGCTGGCCTCGGGGTGCGACAGGGAAAAGTTATTCCTATGGGAAAGGAATGGAGGAGGACTCACCGAAGCCGAAGCTGTCTTCGGCTACGGATCAGTTCGAAACGACAAGCTTCAATCAGCCGGGCCCCCCTGCAGGGAGTCCTTGCCCCTCCTCCCCAGCAGGGTTGACAAAGGAGAGAGGGAGGGAGCAAGAAGGGATGGGAGGAAGGGCGCTGTGAGGGGGAGGGGAGGCCAATCATGAAGGAGCGCGACAACAAGGATGAGGAAAAAGGGGGAGGAGGAAGCAACGGACACGGAATGATTCCCCAAATCTGGATCTCAATGCGGATCACCCGCCCCGTGGTCAAGCTTCGGACTGCGCACGGAAAGCCACACCAGGTAGTCCCGGCTGGCCTCAACCGGCCCGGGGCGGGCTCCACACCCCACCCCCGGGGCGCCGAGGGCCGAAGTGCTAAGACCGCCCCAGACTACTTTCGGGGATGGACAGAACCCCCTTTAGTGAAACGTGGTTTAGTGAAAACGACCTCGGGCCCAAACCTGGCGGGCGAAAGCCTGGAAAATAACGGCCACGGCGCCCTCTCGAGAACCGAGAACGGACAATTCACTAATCGACGTGTCACTGTTGGGGGTTCTGTCCTCCCCCGATACTTGGGCGGCCTGTTGAGGCCAGGTGGGCCGACCTGGGGGATCTGTCTCTGCGCAATCCGAAGCCTTGCTGCCCCACCCCCTCCGGTCCCCTGGAATGCTGGCGTGGCTCCGGGAGGCAGCTGGTTGTCGCAGATCAGCTTCATCTGCGGCGCCGCCGTGTCCTCGGAGCTGAACTCCGTCACCTGGCCGTGCAGGCCAGGCGCCGCAAGCAAGATCTCTCTCTCTCTCTCTATCTGCCCCTCGCTCTGTCGCACGCATAATGTGGACGACGGGTGCCCCTGTACCTCTTTGTGCCCTCTGGCCCTGGCAATCTGCCCTTGGAAGGCAACTTCTGGGGAACCTACGTAAGAACGGTTCAGGGCTATGACGCCCGGTGAAGGCCAGAGATTGGGCCGTATTGAATGGGAAAAACCAGATTGGGCCGGTTTTTGACCGCGGATCTGCCAGCACCGATGCTGCATTGAACCTCCCAGAAGCTGCATTCCGAGTGCCCTGTGCTGCAGCCGTCCTTCACCTCTGGTGGCCAGCGGAACGCTGTCCGTGCGCGTGGGCGCACGGCGCTCGGCCTCGGCGCCGGAGGCCGCGGCTCACGAGTCCTGGGGGGAGCAGGTCCTGAACCCCAGGACTGCAGCTTTTCGTGCTGTATTGTTTTCTGACACTGGCGGCGAGCCTGGGGGGGAGTGAGGGGGGGCAGGCATTCTCAGAAGGCGGCGCGGCTTCTCGGAAGCCCCTCGCGCCTGCTGAGAAGTCTTCCGAGCCTCCTCCGAAGACAAGGGCGGCTTCTCAGAGGGCCAGAAGGCTTTCGAGAGGCCCCGCCGCCTTCTGAGAAGGCCTGCCCCCTCTCAAGTCACCCCTCGGCTCGCCACCGTAGAGGGCCCGGGGAGGCCAAGAGCAGCTAAACACCTCAAGAACTCGTGGGCGAAAAACACGTGTCCGCGGCCTCGCCCCCGGGTCTCCTCGTCGCGATGGTTCAAGGCAGTTAGAAGGAGGAGAACAACAACAAATATCAGGAAGAGGATGAGGAGTGGCCGCGATCGAACGACTCCCTTCATAACCTCCTCTCTGCACGTCTTACTAACGGATCCCCGCTGTTGCGGCCAATGTGGGCCATCGTGCCGTAGGCGTTGGGCGGGGTGTTCTCGGTTGCCTTGCTCCCCCCGATCTGGGACACTGTCCGTGCTCTCGTTGCCGCAGGCCCCAAATTCACAGGCGCACCCAAGAATTTCTCGGCGCTGTCCATGTTTGTCGATTGACTCCCTCGGAAGTTTCAAGAATGTGGTTGGGAGTCCGCCCTTCCCGGGTGTCCCAAAATGACCCCAACGACCGTCCTGAGGCTCTCAATGGAACCTCTGGGGCCGTCTTGGAGGTAGTGGGGGACCAGCCCGAGAGGCCGAAACTCTCGAACAACATCCGATGGTATTGAGTACTCACCATTTCGGTATCGACGGCGGTCAAGATGTCGCAAGAGGCCCCTACGATCGCTCCAAGAATGTCTCCAAGCCCCAAGGAGGGGCTCAAAAAGGTCCTGACCCCGAATGGGGAACATCGAACGGGAAGTCCCCGAGACCGCGGGCAGGTCTCCAAGAGCCGCCCAAGAGGCGTTCACTGAGAGCCCAACGGGAGCCTTTTCTTTCACGTGGCCTCCAATAGACCTTTAAGACAGCGGCAGGAGCCTCCTGCCGCTTTCTTAAAGGTCTAATGCTTCCTGCCGCTTTCAGTTTGGGCCTCCTTCCTGCCTCCTGCCGCTTTCTGTTTGGGCCTCCTGACAGGAGGCCCAAACAGGTGTTCCCAATACGCACCCAACCTAACAAATGGCATCCCACGAGGCTCCAAGGAGGCCTCGAAGGAGCCTCCTACGCACGAGCTGCTTGGCGCAGCTGCGGGATGGGCAGCATGCCACTCTATACTGCATGATAGCGGCTTGTGCGATCACGCCAATCGCCTGAGAAACGCGATCGTCGAGCACTGCGACAAACGCGATACTCGAGCAATGGCTCAGACCGCGCGATGGAGGCAATTCTCCTCGGCATAAAACGGCCCGCGCTCTATGGCCCCCCCCCGTTCTCGTAGGCAAGAGGCCGAAAGCTCATTAACAACGCGGCACGGAACGGCTTAGGCCGCAACAGATGCCACGCCCACGCCTGCTGTCTAAAAGCGGTTCAAAACGAGTCTGGGGGGACACTTAAGCAAATAATGATTCCCAACGCTGTAGTGCGCATCTGTCGGCTACACGCAGGAGTGACCCTGGGTAAGAGTGACCTTTGGTGTGCGGCTTTTTGGGGGCCGCGGGGGGACCAAACCTGGGCGCGCAAGCCGCTGCTACGCTTTGTTTTCAGCCATCTGGGGACCCAGCTGTGCCCGCACCAAAGGTCACTCCGGCGAAAGGTCACTCTTACGTCCAGTCGAATCTGGAAAACAAAAAGAAAGCGGGGAAGAACCGGACCGCCGGGGACGTCCCCGCGGCCGCCCTGGCGCTCCGCGTGCAGGGGCGGAATCCCGCGCACCCCCCCGTGGCGTCAGGCCACGCCTGCCACGCCGTGCGAACCTGGCATGGACAGAGACCGCGCTTAGGGACCACCCCCCTGCGCACCCTCTTGGCGGCGCGCACAAGGGGGGGGGAGGGGGGAGGGCTTCTGAAAGGCAGGCTGCTTCTTAGAAGGCGCCGGCCTTACATCTACAGAGAAGGCCCGCGCCTTCCAAGAAGCAGGGGTGCTTCTAAGAAGCCCTCCCCCCTCCCCCCACCCCCCTCTGCGCGTGGCTGACCCTCTTTGGGTCGCGAACGTGCTACGCCTGACACACACTCTGAGACCTGGAGTGGGTCGACACCGCGCTCAAGGACCGCTCCATGCACACCCTCCCTCACTGGGGCTGAGAAAACGCCGCGCCAGCCGTGCCCTACGACCCTGGCGTGGACAGAAACCGCACTCGGGAACCATCCCTTGCGCACCCCTTCTGGTGCCCAGAGGGCCTCAGAAAGGGGCTCCGAGATGGCCCCAGGTGCTGCAAGATGGCCTCCAAGATAGCACAACATGGTCCAAGCTGGCTCAAGATGGCATCCAAAATGCCTCCAGGTGGCCCCATGATGGCCCCAAGACGGGTCCAAGTGGCCGCGGAGACTTTCAAGGAGGCCCTCAAGAAACCACGATCCTACCATAACTCAAAAGGAAATCAATGATTTGGGCATTCTCGCCCTTTCGCTTCCGATGGGCCCCCGAAGCCTCAAGATGGCTCCAAGATGGCCCAAAAGGGCCCCAAGAGAGGCCCAATATGGTCCCACGACGGCCCTAAGAGCGCCCAAGAGCGCCCTAAAAACGCCACGGGTGGGCCCCAACCGGATGGGCGACCCTACTGAAGGACCTCCCCTCTTTGATCGATATCCTCCAAAATGGTCCCAGGAAAGCCTCGAATGCTCCGAGAGGGCACGACAATTGCCCCCAGATGGCTAAAAAACGCCCAAGAGACCCCAAGAAACTCCCAGGACGCCCCCGCGAGGCCCCGAAACGGCCCCTAAACAAACCCATCAGACCCCCCCAAAGCAGCCAAGACGCCCCAAGAGGCCTCCAGGACCGCATCTGCACATCTGCACATCTGCACGCATACAGTTCATACGCATATACCAATGCATGCGCGTGCGTGCGTGTGTATCCATATTTATGTATACAAACATACACGGATGTATCTATCAGTCGCATCGTTCAGTCTCCGCGGAATATATTCCAGAGCGGACAATTAAAAAAAACAAAAGAAACCGGCGGCGAATCAATGGAAGTCGGGACCCTGGGAGGAGGGGAAGGGGTCATTTTTTAACCAGCTTTGGACATCATCCGTGCCTGACAACGGTGCTGCACACGGTGCGCTATTCCCACAACAATGCTTGCTCTTCATGTCTCTTACCTGCTCTCCAAGAACTGGCCGCGTGCGTCGCATTCGCCTAATCCGCGAGGGGGCGGGGGGGCAAACATGCCGCACCGAAACCGAAACTCAAAACCGATCCGCGACGCGCACGTGCCGCGCCTGCACCGCCCCGTCCCTGACATGGGGAACCCCGAACCAGGGGCGGCGACCCGGGAACCGCACTAGAGGCTGTCAGGGACCTGTAGCGAGAACTGCGTTACGATGCGTCGTTGAGCTGCTGGATGTTCGTTTCTGTCTGTGCGTCGCTGTCCGCAGCCGCTTCTGGGCGGTGCTCTGTTGGCCGTTCGCGCTGTGTGCTCCACGGTTGGCGCCGATGGTTGGCGCCCCGTGGGGGGGGAGAAGGGGGGGGGGGCAGGAAAGAGCGAGTCTCGACTTCGGGGGGGGGGGCTTCGGCGGACATGTGGCAAATTACAACGAAGTAGCAACACTTCCAACCACCTGAATACATATTGCAACCCCGTTGGCATTACTTCCAACCGCTCTAGTCGACATTCCAACCACCCATGAAGCCCAGCGGACGTATTAGATGCGTCGTACGGGCGTCTCAGAGGCGCTTCGCAGGTGCATCGCACGGGCATCTTAGAGGCGTCGCGCGGGGCGTTTGAGAGACGTCGCGCGCGCGTCTTGCAGGCGATGCGCGGGCGTCCTGCAGACGCCGTCGAGGCGTCGCGCGGGCGTGTTAAAGGCGTCGCGCGGGCGTCTTCGAGGCGTCGCGCGGGCGTCTTAGGGACGTCGCGCGGAAGTCTTAGAGACGTCGCGCGGGCGTCTTGGAGACGTCGCGCGGGCGTCTTAGAGACGTCGTACGGGCGTCTTGGACACGTCGCGCGGACGTCTTAGAGACGTCGCGTTTTCGACACGTCGTACGGGCGTCCTGCAGACGTTGTGCGGATGTCTTGCAGGCGACGTAAGGGCGTCTTACAGGCGTTTTAGATGCGTCGTCCTCGTCGTCGTAGTCGTTCGGTCGTTCGGCAGGGTGGCGGCCGTGAGGGGGGGGGGGAGGAGCAGGAGGAGGAAAAGGGAGGGAGGGAAGGAGGGTAGGGAAGGAGGAGGAAAAGGGAGGGGAGGGAAGGAGGAGGGAAAGGGAGGAAAAGGAAGGAAAAGGAGGAGGAAAAGGGAGTGAGGGAAGGAGGAGGGACCTTGGAGAGCGAGGGTGGGCCTCTGGCCGCCCACGAAGCCTCGAGAAGGGAGGGCGGCGCATGCAGCGAAGCGCTAGTCGAAAGGGTAGGTTCCGCCTCCTCCCCTTCCCTCCTTCCTGGCCATCGCTCGGACGTCCATTCCCTGTGTTGTTTCGGTTTCGTGCGTGGTTTTTTCGCCAAATGATCAAGGATGTTCCTAGAGGGTCCTCGCCGAAGGAAAAATGCACACGTCCGAGCGATGCCAAGCTTTTTTTCCGATGGAGAAGGACGGGGAGGAGGAGGAAGAGGAGGAGGAAGAGGACAGCGTGACTGCGACTGCTGACTGGAATAAGAATGCAACACCTACTGCCAAGAGTACGAGTATTAGAAATAATGCGAATCGCCTTAATATGTATGAAATCAATAATAATAGTAGTAAGACTAACGAAGTTCGGCATACCAATATTGACGACCATCGTGATTATGTTGATGACGATGAGGTGGATGATGATTACAATGGTCATGGTGATGGTAATGATGATATGTAACATCCCTGGCCAAACGTCATACACATTCCAATTCAAACAACCATGCTAGCTTCTTCTAACATGAATGTGGGTACGTAAGCGGACCATTAACTTCTGGGATATCCCAACATCGCCTCACACTAAAAATCATACAATGACGCTGTTCGGTCCGTTCTGGTTAATGCCTGTCTTTTCGATCCGGATGGGAACTGTACAAAGCGGTTGGGATCAGTCCAAGTCGGTTGGAATTAATACCGCATGCAGGATTTGGGGTCTCGACTTCCGGAGGGGGAGGGAGCTTTCCCCCCTCCTCCCTTCCGTGCGAAAGGGAGGGGGGTCCGCCCCCAGCCCCGTGCCTCCTTCGCTTGGTATCACTCAATCGCATCCCGCCACGCCGCTTAACCCCGAGAGCCCCACGCAAGGCCTGACAGTCGGTACTGGTACGAGTTGCAAGAGTTTGGTTCAAGATACAAGAGGGACGAAGGATATTTGACGCAACTACAAGAAATAAATACTTCGGATGCGCGCGTTTATCACGCCCAATGCTTCACGATCTCGGCAAATAATCGCGAAGAAAACAATATCCGCGCGGCCGGCAAAACCAATTGCGCCATCTCGCAGCCGTGCGCACTCTTCTGGCAATGCTGCTTCATTTGGCCATCTTCTGCTTTGCAAAGAGTAGCGTGTGTCATGAAAATAGAAAATGGTCAGGCAGAATGTCACAAGACAGAGCCTGGATTTGCCCCTTCGCTTCTGCGAAAGACTTGCCCCTGTCGACAGGCTGTTCAACCTGCGCACGGTTGCAGGAATCAAGGTAATGGGTATCAGCGATCGTGTGTAGTTCGTAGAGAAGGCAACATCATGCTCCCAATGGTAACGAAATGTGCAACAAAACGTTAGCAACGCACCTGTTCATGAACGCAAATTCATTAGGACCAATACCTGCGTCCGAATACTCACACAACAGAGTTTATTAGTCCTGGTGCAATGCTCACACAATGCGTGGACATTCGTTCGCTCTAAGAACCAGCACATGCTGTTCACATTAGACACAGGCAGGACTCACTACACAACTCAGATACTGCGACGAGCCTGTCCATGACAAACGAGTGGGACAAGGCAACCAATTCGTCACAGGAGCACTGCAACAACACAGTGTCTACACACAAGGTTTGACCAAGGGCTGTCATATGGTGACATGTACACATACTATGTGGCTTGGACCCCACACAAAGATTTGTTTGCACTCTGGTGTTGGGAACTATGCGGTGGAAGCTAAGTGGAGGCTATGTGGTGGAAGTTACGTTGTGGAAGCCACGTGGTGGAAAACTAGTGCTGGAAACCATGTGGTGCACGCTATGTCACACGGCTTCGGGTCCACAGAAGCGTGGACTGAAAACTGGGTCCACTGAGTGGGACCAAACTTTTTGTATCTTTTACGCGTCGCGTCTCCCTGATGGATGTGGGCGCGCACGAGGCTGTAACGGGCGGGAGCGTGGCGAATCCTCGACGCACCCACACAAGCGGCGACGGGCGGCGGCGGGCGGCAACGCGCGGGAACGTGGCGAATCCTCGACGCACCCACACAGGCGGCAACGTGCTGCGGCAGGCGGCAACGGGCGGGAACGTGGCGAATCCTCGACGTACCCACACAGGCTGAAACGCTGCGCTCCCTCGAAGCCCCCATCCAATTCCTCCGCTAGCTCACGCCAACCCTTAGGAACAAGGAAAGGCGACACCAGCATCACCATGGCGAGGAGATGCGAGGAGCAAAAGGGGGTCTCCCTGGTGGTGTGATCCCCCCTCTCGCCCGAGACATCCCCAGCCTCCAGCTCGGAGAGGCATCGTGGACCTCCTCAATGGAGGTGGCACCCTTTGGTGGCGTTGTTGTCGCTTCTCCTCCCTTCGAAATTCTTGGGCGAGTCCTGTGACATTACGCGTGCCCTGGAGACCTGCCTGGACGAAGCCTCGGCCACGGCGGCTTCGGGTGACACCGTTGTGGAACCCGCGCACACACCAGCAAGTTTTCCGCTGTCTAAACCGGCCCTGGGAAGCCTCGCTGCAGATGGGGAGGCACCTGTAGCCAGTCGCGTCAGAACCAATCCTTCCGGTGATTGACCCTCGACTCAATGCGATAGCCGAAAGGATCTCCGCTATCCGCAATGCAGAGACAAACTTTCAACACCTGTTTGCGCAACATACGTTTTCACATGAAGCGCAACTCTTACCCTGTGTGATCATGCCTCAGCTGGCACCCCTTCTGGCGAACAGATGTGACAAGTCTTGTGACCCGCGAGTGCCACCACCATCCTGGGGGTAAGGATGCGGGGCCGTATTAGAGCTCCCTGGAGGAATTTCCCCTAAAGGGGGGGCTCTTGTGTCGTGCTGTGGGCTCTCGGGGCTTCCTTCAGCCTGCTTGGGCCCATCCAAGAGCACCCATGTAGCCATTTTTGCTAGACAACGATGGGAAGTCATAGATCCTGATGTAAAGCTTTCACAAAAAAATATCTTCAACGGGTTTTCACCTCTCGGGGGCTTCCTGGGTGGCGTTTTGGCAACATCCTTGGGACATCTTGGGACCTTCTTGGAAGCACTTTCCGCCCTCTGAGGCCCTGCGCACGGGTCTCTCACACTGGGGATGGGGCGTCCGCCAGCAGGAGTGCGGTTCGCACCCCGGAGGATCCCGCGCTGTGGTCGAGGATTGCATCGACTTGTTTCTCCGCTAGTTTCGGTGCTGTGCTCTTTGCTTTGCTTGCCCGTGTACGAGAACGGCGCCAGTACCATGTGGGAACTCCCTGCAGGCCCCGCTGCAAAACAGTACGGTGCATAGTTGTTTCGGCCCTGGCAGCCGAAAAACTATGCACCGTACCATTCCTGGGTCGAGGATCGACGACGCCTAGAGAGGCGCCAAAGCGGTACGGTGCACAGAAGTTGTCTGCGGACTGTGGCATCAGCCTTGGCAAACGCGGACGGGTTCGGTTCCATGCCCCGCAAAGCATACTATACAATCACATGTGCATGCGATCACGCGCAACGGGTGCTCCCTGACTGCCAGGACTACATCTCGACTTGACCTTGCGACAGAGCCACTCGGATGACAACTATTGCGTGCTCATCAGAGGATGCGCAATCAAGGGTCACCATGGCAGCGTGCCTTCCAATCCAGGTCAATTTTCATCTCGAACATTGGGCGCGGCTTCCCAGCGCCCTGTCAACATGTCGCGGCAAACATCTATCACAAACACAACATCGGCATTTAATTAAACAGCAGATTCATCTTGGAAGTGGTTATGTGCTAGTGCGGCACTGCATGTCCGACTTGACGCAAGCATGGGCCAAGAGAGACAGATACGCCAGGGGGCACACGGGCATGCATCGATGGACATCCTCTCGATTCCAGAACACCGCCCCTCAACCGGGGCAAGTGTGTGCACTTCGCCGAGTCGGCGGCGATTGCCAGGAACCCTGGATGGCCGCTGGCACCAGCCTCAATAATCTTGTTGCCATGAAGCACTTTTTTGATTCGCGGGTCGAGAGCGCACCTCTTCCGGTCGAAGCTAAGCGGGCCGCGCAGAGCTTGAATTACGCAGAGAAGGGGAAGGAGAAGGGGGGCGCAGCCTCAGAACGAGGCCGGGAGGAGGCAACGCCTCGGAACCGGGCGGTGTCGAAGTCGACGAACTTGCAAAGGAGCGCCTTCTTGAAGTTCCCATAAAACACGCGGGTCCTGTGGTAAAAAAAGGTCCTGGTGGACCTGGGGCCCTCCCCCTGGGCCAACCTTTTGGTCCCGAATCGCACCCCAAGGATCCGGGGAGGGCCCTGGGAGTCTGACAACGGCAAAACACAAACTCCAGACCCGTCTGCTTCATGGCAATGTTGGGGGTCTTTTCTTTGGAGCTCCACACCCACATCGAAGGGGGATGTAGTGAAAGGGCGGGTGGGCGAATCGGCTCTCGTAGCTGATTTCCCTGGCGCCTCCTGCAGCGACAGGGCCGCCAATGTATCAAAGCGCCCGACGGCGTGGCCGAGACCAGCTGCATGCCGCAGCTTTCGCAACACCCGTTTCCCGATCCCCTCCTGTCGCCCGACCCGAATGGTCAGGCCTCGGGCTGCGCACAGACGGACCCCCAGGCAGTCCCAGCTGGCCTCACGACAGGCTCCTCGAGCAGTCCAGGGCGGTCTCAACACCTCCGTTCTGGAGCGCGGAGCGCCCCAGGGGCGCCGCCGCAGGCGGCGCCACAGTGTTGAGACCGCCCCGAACTACTCGGGAGGCCTGTTGAGGCCACCTGAGGCTACTCGGGGGGGGGCCCGTTCAGCCCAGCCGGGACTACCTGGCAGGGCTGTCTGCGAGCAGCCTGAAGCCTCACCAGCCCCAGATCTTGGGGTCACCACAAACACCAGGCGCGCGCGCGCCAATACGCGGTCGCTGCCAGCGCGCAGCTGGCAGCTGGGCGAACGGTCTTCACAACGTCTGCCGCGTGCCGAGTATGGCTTCAGGGTAGCCTCTGCTTCCTGGGAGCCGCTGCCGCTGGCACCGCGCGCAGGGCGCCGCGTGTAGTTATCGAGCGGGTGCAGCAACACAACTATAACACGTCCGAGCTCCGCGCGGATTTCTTGGATCGGCGATGGCCTCCCCTCGCTGGCGTGCGGGCCCAGCGCCGATCCAAGGAATCGGCGCGGAGCTCCGAAAGTTATGATTATTATGCGGTTTGGTTTCTCTGAGAGCAGTGCTGGCCTTCGTTCGGCTGCAAGGCACGCGTCTGCATGGGGAGCTCCCATCCTGCAGCTGAAGCGGTCTTCGGAGTCATCAATCCCAGCCAGCTCCGAGAACCCGCGGCCGTGGCCGCTTTAGCGCCGCCGTGGCAGTTCGCCACCAAGATCCAACCAACAAGGTGCTGCGATGGCGATGGCAATTGGAATTTGGGCTGGCAGAGGGCGCCGTTGCAAGGACGCGAGGAATGGCGGAATTGCAGCCTGGCTCCGACGCTAGCAGGGCGAGTTGAAACAACGGCAATTCAAATTCGAAAACCTCTCTTCGTGACTTCTTCACGGCGCGAGCATGTCTGGGGTGCGGCAGTCCTTGCCTTACGTCGGGCATATGTCCCCTACAGGCGGATTTTGGAGGAAACAACAGTCAGCCAAAATACACAAACGGTCAAAAACATTGTCCGAAAATCGTCCCCCTCAATTTTTTTTTACTACTCTTGAATCATGCCCCTGTAGAGGGACACGCCCGACTGACTCCTTGCCCACAGTGATGCCGCAGGCGTGCTCTGGGCGGTGCTGACCCGCAGCGTGACCCCGGGCAGGCCGGAGCAGAGCGCCTCCCGCATACTGTGGCGCCGAGCGGGAGCACGGCCGGCATCGATCCCCGGGCTGCGCGGTGTCGGCCCAGCGCGCCGGCTTGGTCGACGCCGTGCACGCAGCGTGGCGGACGAAAAGAAGGGTCACAAGGGCCACCAGGGTCACCGGCGTCGCAGGAGCATCGAGGGCCACGGGGGTCACAGGCGGTCATGTGAACGAGGGTCGCAGGGGACCCGAGGGTCACAGGGGACCCTCGGACCGCAGGGGCCACAACGCGTCACAAGATGTCCAAGGCCAGCACCGCGGCGCAGCGGACTGGATTACGATGTGCGCTTGCGGAGCAATGCGGCGGCCTTCCACGACGGCACCTTCCCGCGCAAGTGTTCGTGTGCAGAGCTGCGGGACCTTCTCGCGCACATCTGCGGCTTTGACACTGCGTGGACACGACGAAGCCAGGACGAAGATCAATTCGGGGAAGGACACATCGAGAATCTCTGAAATCCGGAACTTCGGGAGGACAGTCTCGGGCGCCGCGGCCTTCGCAGAGCGTTCTGGGACGCTCTGAGAGCGTTCCGAAGCGTCTTGGAACGGATTTATCTCAAGGGGCCCAAGGACACACACATAAATACACACAAACAAAAAAGATCCCCCAGATTTTCCTATATTTTCGGGGTTTCTGTCGGACCCCCCACTCCCCAAATTCTCTTATATTTTCCTGGGGGTGGACGATTAATTGTGTCTGTGTGCTTCCTTCCCTCCTGATTATCCTCGTCCTGGCCCCACCCGCGTGGAGGGTCACGGGCCACCTCGTCTGCTTGGGAGTATGGCAGAAGACCGTCTGGCTTCGGCGACGGCCGCGGCCTGCCCCACGGGCGGTGGCACGCCAGCAGAGGAGCGCGCCGTCCAGCTGCAGATGCTGTCTCGACCCGGAGTGCCAGCCGCGGCAGCACTGGGCTGGGAGGATCCCGCCCCAGCCCTTGCCATCGCTCGGACGTCCGTTCCCCGTGCATGTTTCGGCTTCGCGCGCGTGTCTCTCGCAAGGTGAACCGAGATGCTCCTCGCTGGTCCTCGCCGGGGAACAGTTGCACACGTCCGAGCGATGCCAAAAGCCATGCGCCGTCTTGATTCTCCCACTGTGCGGTCCACGGAAGTCCCGACCCTTCCCCCGGGCTGGTTTTTCATCCCGAGCCGTTTGTTGGCGGTCCTGAAGCTCTTTCGGAACGGCCTCCCCAGGCCGACGACCTGTCTGCGCCGGGGCCTCCGTCGCCAAAAAACGGCATTTTACTCTTGCCATCGCCTGGACAACCCCACTTTTGGGCGGGTGGGAATTGCAAAACCGTGTGCTGACAGGCCGTGCGGTGACCTCGGAACCCCAAGAGACCTCACCGCACGGTCCGTCACCGGTCGGTCTTGGGGCCCTGGAGTCCCCTGTCGCCCGAGAACTCTTCGGCAAGGGGCTCGAGCCCCAAAACCGTGCGGTGACTCCGAACCCCCACCGACTCACCACACGGTGTGGTCACCACCCCGTTTGGGGGTCCCCGATGATCTTCCAATCCAGAACACAAGGTCGCCGGGGATCGACCTTTCATCGGCGCTAGTCGACGCTGAGCCGGCGCTATTCCATCGACTCCCAGACGCAAGCCGACGCTGGCCGACGCGAGTGACGGCCTTGAAATGACCGCTCGGGCGCCCCCGATCATCACGAGTCGTGCGGTGGCACTCCCGGGGCCAGGCGAGGCCGCGGCAAATCGACGCTAACCGACGCGAGTGACGGCCTTGAAATGACCGCTTGGGCGCCCCCGATCATCACGAGTCGTGTGGTGGCACTCCCGGGGCCGGGCGAAGCCGCGGCCCCGTCCCCCTCCTCTTGCTCGGTCTTGATTCTCCCCCTCCTGCTTCCGCTGCGCGATTCCTCCCGCGTCTCTTTCGTCCTCTGTCAAGAGCGCCGCTGGCGGTCATGCAGCATCGGCCGCGGGTGCGCGCGGCGATGGCGGTGGCGGCGCGGGCGCTGCCGAAATGGCCGCCGTTTTTTCCCTCTCGGGCCGAGCTCGGCCGCGAGCCTCCCGCCGGCAGCGACCCTCCCGGCGCGAGCCTGCCTGGGCCGCGCGGCCGCGCCGGGCGGCGCTCGGCTCCCGGCGTCGCCGCCCCCGCGGGGCGGAAGGCGCGGCCGCCGCCGCCCGGCGAACCTTGGGCCAGCGTGTTCGGTGGCGACTCACGGGAGCCTCCCGTGCCTTTTTTTCATTTTTATTGTTTCGTTTTTTTGTGTGTTTGCCTTGTCGCCGTTTCGTTTCCGCTCCAATGCGTCACTATAGCCACGGGGCCTCAACCGCCACCCCCACAGCTCCGGAACCGGGTACTGCGAGGGCTTTGGTTTTGGCCGCACCGTGTCCGTGGGCCACGATCAGAGCCTCCCGTGCCATCTTGTTGGCTCTTGCGAATCGACGCGAATCTGCGCCAGATCGACGCTGAAGCGACGCTGACCGGCGCGGCATCGGCGCTTTCTCATGCACTCCAGACGCCAGTCGACGCTCAAGACGGACTTGCGAGGGTGCACAAGGCTCCCATGATTTGCTACCGAAAGTGTGTGTTCCGTCTGGGCCTGGCGGCTGTTGGTTGTCTTTGCAGGCGCGGGGAGCAGCGCGGGCCCGCGTGTGGCGGTGAGTTGTGACTCCCGCGGGCGCCTGCGCAGGCCTGCGCAGGACGCCTGCGCATGCGCCCGCCCTCAGACAGCCTCCAAGTGGGCGGTTTCGGAAACCCTGAGCCCAAAAACGTTTTCATCTCTTGGCGACGCATTTTTTAACTCCCGCCACCTTCCGCCGCCCTTCCGCCGGCTGCCGCCCGCGGAGGCGGCCTCGTTTTACTTCCGCCGACCTTCCGCCGCCCTCCGCCGCGAAAGAGATGGCAACCCCTTTCTATTCGCGAAGGCAGAGCCCTTTTTTGAACGCCCCAGGTGTTGGGGACCAATGATTCCCGCGGGCGCCTGCGCAGGCCTGCGCAGGTCGCCTGCGCATGTGCCCGCCCTCCGACGACCTCAAAGCGTTGGGGGCCAGTCGGTGCCCATACCGCTGCTCCCCGGACCTCTCCCCGGGGTGCGCTCTGACAAGAGCCTCGAGGCGACGGCAGCCGCGATGGCGAGGGCCTCCCACGAGGCCGACAAACCGGGCGAGCGCAAACAGAGGTGCCCGCCCCGCGATTTGGACGCCCGGAATGGGTACGGAACAAAAAGGGTACTCCAGATGTCGTAATAAAAGGGAGGGGGTCTGGACCCTCCAAGACAAGCCATTTCAGACCTCCCCCGTGGGAGAACCCTCCAAAACATCGTCCCCAGACCCCCCCAGGCCCTCCAAGATGGCCTGGAAGAGACCCCCCCCGAAATGAGACCCCCCTCCCTTTATTACGAAAGCTGGAGTACAATGCCCAACACCACATATGGGCCCAAACCGACAGCGGCCGCTGTTGGCCAGGCGGCTCATCGTCTTCAAAGAACAACGTCCGCGGCGGCGCAGACAGCGATTCCCGTTCAACAGGAACAGGAGCTGCTGTTGGGCACTGTGCCCATTCCTTCCGTGCCCATTGCGACCGTCCCGACGCGCGGCGGAAGCGCGGCTGCCGCCGCAGCCGCTGCGCCTCACGCCTCGCAGCGGGGCAGGGGGCCCTCTTGACCAAGAAAAAACATAGTCCCAATCCCAACATCGCGGATTTACCGAGGACTCGAACCTCGGCCAGAGAGTCCCACCAGCCCTCTGGGCGTCGGTGGTTTAGAGCGTTTCCTCTTCCACCCCTCCTTCTTCCCCTTCGGGGAGGGGTTTACCCCTCCCCCTACCCCCTCCCCACTGACCTGGACAGGGGGTTCCGCGGCGCGTTGGAGCGCCCAAGATGGCCCAAGACGGCTCCAAGAGGGCCTCAGGGAGCCCAAGATACCCTCCAAGATGGCTCAAGATAGCGCAAGATGCCTCAAGATGGTCCCCATGATGTTCCAAGACGTTCCAAGAACTCTCCAAGACGGTTCCAAGTGCCCACAAGAGCATCATTAGGATGCATCCAAGAGGCCAAAATGCTTCAAAACCCTAGGGAAAATCAATGTTTTTGGTGTTCTCACTTTTTCGCTTGCGATGCACATCCGAGGCGTCAAGATGGCTCCAAGATGGCTCAAGATAGCTCCAAGAAGGGCCCAAGAAAGCCCCATGACGGCGCCAAGAGCGCCGAAGAGCGCTCCAAGAGCGGTCCCAGAGCGGTACAGGAGACGATTTTTGGAGTTCCTGGGGGGGGGCTCTAATTAAGGAACCCCTCTTCTTTGATCGATTTCCTCCACGATGGCCGCAAGAGGCCCCCAGGATGCCCCAAGAGGCCGCAGGATGGCCCCAAGATGACCCCAAGAGGCCCCCCAAGAGGCCCCCAGGAGGCCCCCAAGAGACCCCCAAGAGGCCCCAAGAGACCCCCCAGAGGCACCCAAGGTGCTCCCAGAGGCCCCAAGATGGCCCCAAGAGGCCCCAAGAGGCCCCCAGGAGGCCCCAAAGAGGATCCCGAACGGCCCACAGAGGCCCCCCCGAGGCACCCAAGACGCCGAAAAGCCCCTCAGGACGACCCTCTACTCGCCTGGGCGTCGTTTCTGGACGGGCTGGTGGGGATACGCGAAGCGTCTAGAGTTCGGGGTATGGTCTGCGCTCCCTGGTAAAACCCTGCCCCGCAATCTCCCTCCCCGAAGTCTCGAGGACCCTGTGTCTCGTTTTGGCCCTCGCGTTTTCAGGACTGCGCGTCTGCTTTGAGCTGGCGACCTCTGGCGGGCGGCGCGGGCGCCGCTCGCGGGCCGCGGCGCTCGCGGGCAGCACGCGGCTGGAGCGGGCGGGGCGCCCGGGCGGGCGGCCTGCCTGCGCCGCGGCGGCCCGGACGGCGCCGAGGCCGCGGGGCGCAGAGCTGGGAGGCGCCCTGCTCGCCACCGCTCGGGCGCCCGTGCCCCGTGCAGGGTTCGACCTCGCGCGCGGACGGTTTGCGTCTCGGTGGCCCTCGCCGAAAAGAAATGCACACGTCCGAGCGATGCCAGGCCTGTGGGCGCGGGCGCGGGCGCGGGCCCCCGGGCGAGCATCCCTGGCGCCCCCCCAGTCCTGGGGGGACAGACGTAGAAGATTGGCAGAACACCCTTCGTCAAAACGCCCTGCAGTGAAAGCCGCCAGGGTACTCCACGTGCGCACGGCACCGCATCCCGACTGGACCCCAGCGCGGTAGCTAACCGTCGCCCAAAAACATTCGAGATCGTCTGTTGGAACGCACGTCCGTTAGCGTAATCGACTGGGGACTGCACAAGTGCACTCGAATGACAATGACGAATGAACTGGCGCAAATGTCCTCAATTGACTTGTCTGGGTAGGCGTTTTCTCCTTGCCCGCAACAAGGTACCCCTACCGCTACTCCTCGGACCGCTCCCAGGTTGTGGTTCCGACCAGAACTTGGAGGCGCATCCAGCCGTCATTCTTCGTTCCCCCCGAGCCAGGCGAACACGGGGCAAGGCCGGGGAGGGGCATCGGCATCATTTCTCCTCCCCTGAGGCTCGTTGCGCAGTGAGGTGGGCGGCTCGCGCGTGGGCCCTGCAGCGTGGGAGCCTGGCTCGCCGCGCTCGTCGGGGGTGCCCCCGCGACCAGGCACGGGCGGGCGCGCTGCTGCCCGCGCCAGCTCTGCTCCACCACCGCGTGCCCCGGCAGGGCTCCCGGCGGGTCGGCGCAGGCAGGCGTGCTCGAACGGGGGCAGGCAGCCGCAGCGGAGTCGGCGAGAAAGGGCTGCCAAGCCAGGTTCAAGCAGAAGAAAAAGCACACGCCATAAACGCAAATGTTTGGCGCTCCGCGCGGACTTCTTGGATCTGCGCTGCCACCCCCCATCGGCGCCTCCGGCGCCGCCCCTGGCGCGCTCCGCGCGCCAGGGAGGGGGGGTCCAGCGCAGATCCAAGAAATCCGCGCGGAGCGACAATAGTTTATGTTTATGGTGCTTTTCTTCTTCGATCAAGGGCCTCTGCACTGGATCAATCAAGATGAAGGCCCGGATTCAGCGGGATGTAGAGGGATTGCACGGAACCACGCGGGTTTATGCCGGCTTTCGACCGCGGATGTACTGGCGGCGATGCCGAGTCAGCTCCTCCTCCTCATTCTCCTCCTCCTCCTCCTCCTCATTCTCCTCCTCCTCCTCCTCCTCCTCCCCCTCCTCCTCCTCCTCCTCCTCCTCCTCCTCCTCCCCCTCCTCCTCCTCCTCCTCCTCCCAGGAGTTGCATCCGAAAGTGCGCACGCTGGGTCAGCCCATTCACCACGCGCTGCGGGCGCTGCAGCGGATAGCCAGGCTGCGATATCGGGGGAGCGTGCTGGCTTCCTGCTGTCGATCGAGCATCAGTTGCACGACTGGTAACGAGGAGACAAGACGTTACGCCAAGTGGACCCGGCAAGAACATCACTTGAAACTCGTAATACTCATGCAATAAGTTGGAGGATGCGCAGAGGTGGCCTTCACAGCAAGTGCGCAATCTCCAGTTACCTCCCCCCATTACTCGTGACCGATAAAGTGGCACGGCAAAGCTGAGGACGTGCTCGGCTAGATCATGTGCGTGCACAAACGCATGTCCCGAACCTGCAGCGGACACTTCACGGACAGATGTCTAGCCGCACATGGGGTGTTGCTTCGCACGCGCACATTCAGAAGAGACCCAGCACGCACGGTAGGCACAAGCAAGAAATACTGCATTGCCCTGTCATCGTTCAAGCACGCTGGTGCACGATTTCTGAAACTGTTGGGCATCAGCCACAAGAAGCAAAGAGACGCCAATCCAGCTAAAAGGTAAAATCACACTGGGAACCGAGAAGGACTTGCAATCGTATATTATACCAACGCTACTCTAACATCCTTGACCGTGGCACCTCAATGACGACAAACATTGAACTGCGTAGCGAGATTGTGAGGGATGTGGACCTCACACGCTGGACTGGTCTGACGCTACGTAACTTATTGGAAGCAACTAATGGCACACTACGTCTGACATGCTACCTGTTGGGCACAATCTGTGGTCTATGGGGCGCAGCTTATGTGGTGCACCGTATGGGAAGCAAATCCGTGGGGCTTGTCGTGCAGGGCGCTCATGGGCATCCCCAGACCCCCGACGTCGTGATTTTTTTCGCGACGTGGACCCCCGGAAATCTAGACCCTGCCCCCGAGACCAGAGTTTCATCCCGATCTGTTTTTTGGTGGTCCTGAAGATCGCTTGGGAAGGGCCCCCCGGGGCCGAAAGCGTTACGAAACCTGCCATCGTGATTCTTGTTGCAGCCTGTCTGCGCCTGGGCCTCCGTCGCACAAGGGGGCCTTCTACCCTGGCCATCGCTAGGATCAGGAGGGAAAAAAAACACACAGACACACTTAACCGTCGACTCCCAGGAAAATATAGGAAAATATGGGAAGTGCGGGGGAAGACGAACACCCCGAAAGTATGGAAACACATGGGGGATCCTGTTATTTGTGTCGATTTATGTGTGTCCCAGGGCCTCTTTCTAGGACGCCCCTTCCCTTCTGACGTCCCTTCTATTCCCTTCCCTTCCCTCTTTCTAGGGGCTGTTTTTCTTCATCCCGAACCGGGTTGTGACGGTCCCGGGACCCGGCGAGGGCCCGAGTGCCAACCACGGCAACACTGGGCAGGGAGTACCCCTTCCCAGCCCTGGCCATCGCTCGGACGTCCCTTCCCCGTGCCTTCTTCGGCTTCGCGCGTGTCTATTCTCGCTCCCCCTCTGCTAATTGAAGCTGTGCGTGGCCCGCTTAGCTTCTATCGGAAGGCTCGCTCCCGACCCGCGGATCAAAAAAGTATATTCTCGCAAGATGACCGAAAAGGCTTCTTGAGGGACCTCGCCAGGGAAAGCACGCACACGTCCGAGCGATGCCAAACAATTACAACCCCGCCGCCCTCCGCCGGGACTCCAGCGGGCGCGCGTACCCTTCTTAGGAAACCGAGCTCTATGCACCGACGCTTTTTCCGGCTCCGCACTTACACTCGCACAGGAAAGCGGATCCTGGCGTGTACGGGATCCTGGTGGATACATGTTTCGTTGTTTCCCGAGGACAACAAGGAAAACATATACACCACATCTCCCCGACGTCGTCCCCGACCCTCAACAAGTCCTGGGACTGAAAGACAACCCGCCACTGGTACAATTGGGGCCCGACCATAAGAAACCTTCCGCAAGAAACCCTACCCTGAGACCCCCGCACGTCCATGGATGTTTGGCGCGGGAACGTCACGCTTGCCATCGCCAAACCATCGAAGCCCAAGAAAGCCAGGGCACCCTGGAGGCAAGCAGGGTGCTTCTTGGCATGGGTCTCCACTGTAATGCATATGTTCCACTGTAGTGCATAGCCAAACCATCGGAGCCCAAGAAACCCAGGGCACCCTGGAGGCAAGCAGGGTGCTTCTTGGCATGGGTTTCCACTGTAATGCATAGGTTCCACTGTAATGCATAGCCAAACCATCGGAGCCCAAGAAACCCAGGGCACCCTGGAGGCAAGCAGGGTGCTTCTTGGCATGGGTCTCCACTGCAATGCATATGTTCCACTGTAGTGCATAGCCAAACCATCGGAGCCCAAGAAACCCAGGGCACCCTGGAGGCAAGCAGGGTGCTTCTTGGCATGGGTCTCCACTGCATATGCATATGTTCCTTGGCACTGTAATGCCACTGTAATGCATAGCCAAACCATCGGAGCCCAAGAAACCCAGGGCACCCTGGAGGCAAGCAGGGTGCTTCTTGGCATGGGTCTCCACTGTACTGCATAGGTTCCACTGTAATGCATAGCCAAACCATCGGAGCCCAAGAAACCCAGGGCACCCTGGAGGCAAGCAGGGTGCTTCTTGGCATGGGTCTCCACTGCAATGCATATGTTCCACTGTAGTGCATAGCCAAACCATCGGAGCCCAAGAAACCCAGGGCACCCTGGAGGCAAGCAGGGTGCTTCTTGGCATGGGTCTCCACTGTAATGCATATGTTCCACTGTAATGCATAGCCAAACCATCGGAGCCCAAGAAACCCAGGGCACCCTGGAGGCAAGCAGGGTGCTTCTTGGCATGGGTCTCCACTGTAATGCATATGTTCCACTGTAATGCATAGCCAAACCATCGGAGCCCAAGAAACCCAGGGCACCCTGGAGGCAAGCAGGGTGCTTCTTGGCATGGGTCTCCACTGTAATGCATAGGTTCCACTGTAATGCATAGCCGAACCATCGGAGCCCAAGAAACCCAGGGCACCCTGGAGGCAAGCAGGGTGCTTCTTGGCATGGGTCTCCACTGCAATGCATATGTTCCACTGTAGTGCAGAGCCAAGCCATCGGAGCCCAAGAAACCCAGGGCACCCTGGAGGCAAGCAGGGTGCTTCTTGGCATGGGTCTCCACTGTAATGCATATGTTCCACTGTAATGCGTAGCCAAACCATCGGAGCCCAAGAAACCCAGGGCACCCTGGAGGCACGCAGGGTGCTTCTTGGCATGGGTCTCCACTGCAATGCATATGTACCACTGTAGTGCATAGCCAAACCATCGGAGCCCAAGAAACCCAGGGCACCCTGGAGGCAAGCAGGGTGCGTCTTGGCATGGGTCTCCACTGTAATGCATACGTTTCACTGTAATGCAGAGCCACACCATCGGAGCCCAAGAAACCCAGGGCACCCTGGAGGCAAACAGGGTGCTTCTTGGCATGGGTCTCCACTGCAATGCATGTATTCCACTGTAGTGCATAGCCAAACCATCGGAGCCCAAGAAACCCAGGGCACCCTGGAGGCAAGCAGGGTGCTTCTTGGCATGGGTCTCCACTGCAATGCATATGTTCCACTGTAGTGCATAGCCCAACCATCGGAGCCCAAGCGACCTAGGGCACCTTGGAGGCAAGCAGGGTGCTTCTGGCATGGGTCTCCACTGTAATGCATAGCCAAACCATCGGAGCCCAAGAAACCCAGGGCACCCTGGAGACAAGCAGGGTGCTTCTTGGCATGGGTCTCCACTGCAATGCATATGTTCCACTGTAGTGCAGAGCCAAACCATCGGAGCCCAAGAAACCCAGGGCACCCTGGAGGCTAGCAGGGTGCGTCTTGGCATGGGTCTCCACTGCAATGCATATGTTCCGCTGTAGTGCGTAGCCAAACCATCGGAGCCCAAGAAACCCAGGGCACCCTGGAGGCAAGCAGGGTGCTTCTTGGCATGGACCTCCACTGCAATGCATATGTTCCACTGTAATGCATAGCCAAATCATCGGAGCCCAAGAAACCCAGGGCACCCTGGAGGCAAGCATGGTGCTTCTTGGCATGGGTCTCCACTGCAATGCATATGTTCCACTGTAGTGCATAGCCAAACCATCGGAGCCCAAGAAACCCAGGGCACCCTGGAGGCTAGCAGGGTGCTTCTTGGCATGGGTCCCCACTGCAACGCATATGTTCCACTGTAGTGCATAGCCAAACCATCGGAGCCCACGAAACCCAGGGCACCCTGGAGGCAAGCAGGGTGCGTCTTGGCATGGGTCTCCACTGCAATGCATATGTTCCACTGTAATGCATAGCCAAATCATCGGAGCCCAAGAAACCCAGGGCACCCTGGAGGCAAGCAGGGTGCTTCTTGGCATGGGTCTCCACTGCAATGCATATGTGCCACTGTAGTGCATAGCCAAACCATCGGAGCCCAAGAAAGCCAGGGCACCCTGGAGGCAAGCAGGGTGCTTCTTGGCATGGGTCTCCACTGTAATGCATATGTTCCACTGTAATGCATAGCCAAACCATCGGAGCCCAAGAAACCCAGGGCACCCTGGAGGCAAGCAGGGTGCTTCTTGGCATGGGTCTCCACTGTAATGCATCTGTTCCACTGTAGTGCATAGCCAAACCATCGGAACCCAAGAAAGCCAGGGCATCCTGGAGGCAAGCAGGCTGCTTCTTGGCATGGATCTCCACTGCAATGCATATGTACCACTGTAGTGCATAGCCAAACCATCGGAGCCCAAGAAACCCAGGGCACCCTGGAGGCAAGCAGGGTGCTTCTTGGCATGGATCTCCACTGTAATGCATCTGTACCACTGGAATGCAGAGCCAAACCATCGGAGCCCAAGACACCCAGGGCACCCTGGAGGCAAGCAGGGTGCGTCTTGGCATGGGTCTCCACTGTAATGCATATGTTCCACTGTAGTGCAGAGCCAAACCATCGGAGCCCAAGAAAGCCAGGGCACCCTGGAGGCAAGCAGGGTGCTTCTTGGCATGGGTCTCCACTGCAATGCATATGTACCACTGTAGTGCATAGCCAAACCATCGGAGCCCAAGAAACCCAGGGCACCCTGGAGGCAAGCAGGGTGCTTCTTGGCATGGGTCTCCACTGTAATGCATATGTTCCACTGTAATGCAGAGCCAAACCATCGGAGCCCAAGAAACCCAGGGCACCCTGGAGGCAAGCAGGGTGCTTCTTGGCATGAGTCTCCACTGTAATGCATATGTTCCACTGTAGTGCATAGCCAACTCATCGGAGCCCAAGAAACCCAGGGCACCCTGGAGGCAAGCAGGGTGCTTCTTGGCATGGGTCTCCACTGCAATGCATATGTACCACTGTAGTGCAGAGCCAAACCATCGGAGCCCAAGAAAGCCAGGACACCCTGGAGGCAAGCAGGGTGCTTCTTGGCATGGGTCTCCACTGCAATGCATATGTGCCACTGTAGTGCATAGCCAAACCATCGGAGCCCAAGAAAGCCAGGGCACCCTGGAGGCTAGCAGGGTGCTTCTTGGCATGGGTCCCCACTGAAATGCATATGTTCCACTGTAGTACATAGCCAAACCATCGGAGCCCAAGAAACCCAGGGTACCCTGGAGGCAAGCAGGGTGCTTCTTGGCATGAGTCTCCACTGTAATGTATATGATCCACTGTAATGCAAAGCCAAACCATCGGAGCCCAAGAAACCCAGGGCACCCTGGAGGCAAGCAGGGTGCTTCTTGGCATGGGTCTCCACTGTAGAGCATATGTTCCACTGTAATGCAGAGCCAAACCATCGGATCCTAAGAAACCCAGGGCACCCTGGAGGCAAGCAGGGTGCTTCTTGGCATGGGTCTCCACTGTAATGCATATGTTCCACTGTAGTGCATAGCCAAACCATCGGAGCCCAAGAAACCCAGGGCACCCTGGAGACAAGCAGGGTGCTTCTTGGCATGGGTCTCCACTGTAATGCATACGTACCACTGTAGTGCATAGCCAAACCATCGGAGCCCAAGAAACCCAGGACACCCTGGAGGCAAGCAGGGTGCTTCTTGGCATGGGTCTCCACTGTAATGCATATGTACCACTGTAATGCAGAGCCAAACCATCGGATCCAAGAAAGCCAGGGCACCCTGTAATGCAGAGCCAAACCATCGGATCCCAAGAAAGCCCACTGGTCTGGAGGCAAGCAGGGTGCTTCTTGGCATGGGTCTCCACTGTAATGCATATGTTCCACTGTAGTGCATAGCCAAACCATCGGAGCCCAAGAAACCAAGGGCACCCTGGAGGCAAGCAGGGTGCTTCTTGGCATGGGTCTCCACTGTAATGCATATGTTCCACTGGAATGCAGAGCCAAACCATCGGAGCCCAAGAAACCCAGGGCACCCTGGAGGCAAGCAGGGTGCTTCTTGGCATGGGTCTCCACTGTAATGCATATGTTCCACTGTAATGCAGAGCCAAACCATCGGAGCCCAAGAAACCCAGGGCACCCTGGAGGCAAGCAGGGTGCTTCTTGGCATGGGTCTCCACTGTAATGCATATGTTCCACTGTAGTGCATAGCCAAACCATCGGAGCCCAAGAAACCCAGGGCACCCTGGAGGCAAGCAGGGTGCTTCTTGGCATGGGTCTCCACTGTAATGCATATGTTCCACTGTAATGCAAGCCAAACCATCGGAGCCCAAGAAACCCAGGGCACCCTGGAGGCAAGCAGGGTGCTTCTTGGCATGGGTCTCCACTGTAATGCATATGTTCCACTGGAATGCAGAGCCAAGCCATCGGAGCCCAAGAAACCCAGGGCACCCTGGAGGCAAGCAGGGTGCTTCTTGGCATGGGTCTCCACTGTAATGCATATGTTCCACTGTAATGCAGAGCCAAACCATCGGAGCCCAAGAAACCCAGGGCACCCTAGAGGCAAGCAGGGTGCTTCTTGGCATGGGTCTCCACTGTAATGCATATGTTCCACTGGAATGCAGAGCCAAACCATCGGAGCCCAAGAAACCCAGGGCACCCTGGAGGCAAGCAGGGTGCTTCTTGGCATGGGTCTCCACTGTAATGCATATGTTCCACTGGAATGCAGAGCCAAACCATCGGAGCCCAAGAAACCGGCTGTGCACCGCCGAGCCCGCCGGGGCCCGCCTGGGCCCGGCCTCACGCAAGACTCATGTCGGGCGTGTCCCCCTACAGAGGGATTTTCGACGAGAAATGAGAAATACCCCCCAAATGCCCCCCAAAGGCAACACAAATATCCAGAAAATAATCCCCAGACTATTTTTGGATTATGGTTTGAATATTTTGGGGGGTATTGTGTATTTTTCGTCGACAATCCCCCTGTGGGGGACAGGCCCGACGTGACGCAAGACCCTGTGATTTTTCACGAGCGGCAACCGTCGCCATCTCCGGGGGCGGCCAAGAGGGGGGCGTCCAAGAGGGGGGGGCGCAGACCATGGCCGGCGGCATGTGCGCGGCCCGGGCGGGCGGCGGGAGACGTTGAAATCCGCCGATCTGGCCTGTGAGCTTCTGAGAGCGTGGAATTGAGCTCGCTCAAGCTTCGCTCTGCAAGAAGGGGGGGGACGCCATTCCCGACGCCACTCGGCGCTCGGGAGCCAAGGGGGGGTTCGCTCTGCAAGGGGGGGGACGCCATTCCCGACGCCATTCAGTGCTCGGGAGCCAGGGGGGGAGGGTTCGCTCTGCAAGGGGGGGGCGGGGGGGATGCCATTCCCGGCGCCATGCAGTGCTCGGGGGCGGGGGGGCTTCGCTTCTGACGGTCCCACAACCTCCCGGACCGCGTCAAGACGGCTCAAAAAGCTCCCAAGACGACCCCAGAACGGCGCAAGGGAACGCCAAGACGGCCCAAGAAGCGCCCAAGCCAGCCTAAGAGGGCTCTACCAAGGCCCCAGGAGAGGCGGCCCAAGAGGGAGAGCCCGAACCGAACATCAAAATCTTTCCTTTCACGACGTTCTCCAGAGGCTCCAAGACGCCCCCAGGAGGCCCCAACAGGCTCCCCCAAAGCATCATCATCATCATCATCATCATCATCATCATCATCATCATCATCATCATCATCATCATCATCATCATCATCATCATCATCATCATCATCATCATTACCATCATCATCATCAGCATCATCATCATCATCACCATCACCATCATCATCATCATCATCAGCATCATCATCACTATCATCATCATCAGCATCATCAGCATCATCAGCATCAGCAGCATCACATCATCATACTCATCATCATCATCATCATCATCATCATCATCATCATCATCATCGTCATCATCATCATCATAGGCAACATCGCCATCACCATCGCCGCCATCACCAACTGCACAACCCTTAATACCATCATCAACATGAATACCACCGTCATTCTTATCAGCATCACTGTGGGCACACCGCTGTCATCATCACAACCACCATCACCATCACCAGCATCACAATCCTGATTCTTGTCGTCGTCATCACCATCTTCATGCCCTTCATCGTGGCCATAACCATGATAAAGATCATCGTAATCAGCATCATCATCGGCAACAGCGTCAACATCATAATCATCATCATCATCATCCTCATCATCAACATCACCATCAACATTATCATTATCCAGAGCTCCCCAGATCGGCGGCACTGTCCAGAGGTCAGCATTGTAAGAAAGAGGGCCCATGAGATCTGGCGAAATGTCACGGCCCCCGCCATGATGTCCCCCCCACCCTGATCATCACGCCCCTCTTGTAGGAGGCCAGATGCGAACCCTACCCCTACCCCCTACGATTTCTGAGGGGGACGGTGGGGTTCACTTCGCTCGAGAGCTCCCGAACGAAGTGAACCCACCCTCCCCCTCAGAAATCGTGGGGGGTAGGGGTAGGGTTCGAATCTGGCCCCCTATCTTGGCCGCCCCCGATCTCCACGCCCTCGCAGCGTGGACTCCGGGGCGCGATCCCGCGGACGCGCGCTGGGCATCCGCGAAGGAACGCCACGCATCTGCGGGGTCGCGGCCCGGGGGCCCGACCCGCGAGGCCGCGGGCACGGATATTCTGAACTTCTTTTCGCCCACAAATCCTGGCGCTTCGATGTTTCCGAGCTGGGCGTTTTCGTTGAGTTTCTGGCTCGAGGACCTTCGCACATAGCTCTGGCTCGAAACAAAAATTCAGCAGGCAGATAGGGTCTGGGGCTCTGGTCGCGATTTTTGTTTATGATGTTGCAGTTTTTCGCGTCTTCGGATCTCAGGGGAGTGACCCCAGGACCAGGCAAGAGGAGTGACCTTTGGTGCGCGGCTTGCCGATCTTTTCCAGGGGTGTGGCACTAGCGGCTTTCGTGCTAACGTTCGGCTCCCACGCACCCAGATAGCCGAGCACCAAAGGTCACTCTGGCGAAGGGTAACTCTTACGCGTGGCCGACAACTGGCACGCAGCCGCGGCAAGCTGATCAGAAAGCAAGTCATGGCACGAGCGTCCTCCACGCGGAAGAAGCTCATCTTCGCACCCTCAGTCTTCTCCAAACTGATCTCAGCACCTTTTAGCATTGCAGGTTTCGAAGTATCAGGGGATTTGAAAGAACACCCCTGCCCTACCACTATTTCGCAAGACCCTTGGACCGACAAGAATGCGCAACTACTTCCGGAAACAACTGAATGATCTCCTGCAGTCTCTCCGTCTCACCAGTTCAGGCCATCCCAACCATGTCAAATCCACAAATCTTGTAAATAGCAAACACATCCTGATCTCTCGGTTGGCTCCGTCCGAATCAAAAAAGTCAACGGACGTCAAGACATGATAGAACATCGCGGCACGCAATGAGCACATTAGCCCGCAACTCATAAAAAAAATGCCAACGCGTCGCGCCTTTGAAGAGCTCATCGATGAACTTGTTTGCCCAATCGTTGCGGCTGATCTCCCTCCAAGCCATCGGCCCATGGCATGCGTAGGGGGAAGCTTGAGAAATGCGGCCACCTGAGCACGGCCTTCTGTCAGCTGTCGCCCCTTGGGTCATCATGAAACCTGCTCTACTATCACGCACGCGGGACGTCGTCCTAATCTCTGCAACAAGCATGCTTGAAATCTCATCGGACATTGGCTTCAGCCTATACGGTTCTTGCTGCTTGCCAAGCAGTGCCCACCAAGTATCTACGAATGGGCCCACAGAGAACCTTACCATGTAAACATACCAGGGGCTGGGCCCACCGTGCAATGCACTCAATAGTGTTCATGCCTGAAGGCGACGTAACCACACTCATCCATCTGGTATACATCACGAGTCTTGTATGTTGTTCGCGTCGGACCCTGACTACAATTCTACTTCCTTGCATTGCTGCTCAGACCATGTCTGATGAGAAAAAAATGCTAGGCATACCTCCTTCTCGTTCGCCCGTGCAGTGCGATTCAAGGTCCTGCTACCATCCCTCCCCCAGTATGCTCCAAGGAAGGCCCCAAAAGAATCGCTGCTGAGACCGAAAAGAATCTAAGCGACTGTCCCGCGTGCTGGCTTCGGTAACCGCCGACTCCTCTCGGATCATCGCGCGGGTGAGGCTCTTCTCCCCACTGTAGGCTTCTGCGGCAACTCGTAAGAGCCTCCCACACAATAATGTTGGCTCTTGCGAATCGACGCTGCGTCGGCGCAACCTCATCGACGCTACTGCGCTCTGAATACGGCATTACGATGGCACATAAGGCTCCAGTGATTTGCTACCGAATGTAGTCCCCTCCTTGGCATCGCTCGGACGTCAATTCCCTGTGTTTTTTTTGGTTTCGTGCGTGGTTTTTTCGCCAAATGATCAAGGATGCCTCTCGATGGCCCTCGCCGAAGGAAAAATGCACACGTCCGAGCGATGCCAAGCCTCCGCTGGGTCAGGCATGGCAAACTTCAAGATGGGCCAGTGCAGCGGCGCGGGCTCACCGGTGACGGGGGGGCAGATGGCAGTTCTCATGAGAGCCCCAGGGGAGCCAGGAGATCCTCAAGAGACCGCCAAGACGGGGGATGATACTTCCAAAACGACGCAAGAGGTCTCAAGACAGCACGCGGCACACGAGAGGCCCAACAAGGACCACCACAGGCCGCAGACGGTCCAAATCATCCACAGACAACTGGTGTCTGAGACTTTGCTGCTTTGCATGGTGCTCAACAAAACTCAGATACGGCACATGAACTACCCAAGACTGTCAAACCCGCCGACCACGTCACGTGTGTGAGGGGCTTGCTGTTCGAGCCGTCGTTTCCGTCAGTCGTCGTCTCCGTCGCCCCCTTTCCCTGCACCTTCCTCCGCAAGCTAGTCATCGAGAGAAGAATCCAGCAATGTCGTAATCAAGTCGAAGACCCTTCCCTTTGATCCGTTCCCCGCGTCAGGGGGGGGAGTCCCGGGGGGGTCCTGGGGTGGTGACGGGGGGGTCCTGGGGTGGGTCGCCACCTATCCGCCTTCCCACCCTAGGGGCCCTGGGGCCTCAGAAAGTACCAAGACAGGCCAACAGTGCCCCAACAGGCCGCCGAGACGGTCCAAGAGAGTCTCCCATCGTCAAACGGTCGGTTCAAAGCGACTTCACGCCCTCCAGACTGCCCAGGAGCTTCCACCCCCGAGAGGACCCCGAGAGGCCAAATCCATTGATGTTTCATGGGTTTTTGAAAGCTTTGGGCTTTCTAGTTTAAAGCCAATTGGGAGACCCAACCAGATACTTTACGTCCAACCCTGCTGCACCGTATTAGCGATAGTGCCAGAGGTAGGAAAGAGCCGCGTGAGCGGCGAGGGGACATATCAAGAGTATAAGTAAGGTGCAACTTTTCTGTCTCGATGTTAGGTAGCGGGCCGCGGTGCGGCCCAGTCAGATTGGCGGTCGGTCGCTTGGGCCAACATGGCCGCGGACAAAACGTTCGGTACCTCTCGCCTTTCCCCTTCCTCCTTCACCATCGGGGGGGGGAAGACGAAGCGTGAGTCCGCTACCGGCCTTACTCAGTAAACCAGCTAAATTATACAGGGAAGGCAGCAGCCAGCAGGCTCAACCTTAGCCGGTTGCCCCGCAGCTTACTAACCTCCGGGCGGCTCAGGTGGTTTCGTCTGGCCAGCCCTTTAAGGAGTGTGTCGTTTCAAGTCGTGCTTGAAGGATTGTACCCTTGCCACGACTTGTAGAAGCATGTCTCTGTCAATGCTCCACTTGGTGTGACCATCTGCAGTCATGTCGCGGGTGTCACGCCACTGCACACAATGCACGATACCGCGCTCCACCACTTGCCGTATCCAGATGATATGACCCAAGAGGGTGTACGCAGTGGGCTGCTTCAGGTCTTCACTTGACAAAGACTTGAAGACGGGTTCCGCATCAATGGTCAGGGTGACCTTAATGCTGAGGCCACCCATCTCAAGTATTTCCTTCAGGTGAGTGGGTTCCAGCGGCCCTGCGTGGAGTTCGTGCAGCGTAACGAGTATGGGATACCTCGTCATCGGCATCGCCGCTCAGGTGGCGGTAGCCGAAGTCGCTGTGCAGATCGACCTCCCCCGATGTTCCTGTTTGTAAAACATTAAGTCGCATTCGACTTCATCATTGCATTTGCCAGGTAGCGCTGTAGACGACATTCTAGTCTGCCCAGGCTTTTCCCAGGCCCTGCGCTCCCAGCATGCATCGCAGACGCCTTTTATCAGGTTTAGTCAAATACTAACAAGACCAGCCTTGGTTGAGATATCTTAAAATCCTTGGCGTGGAACCGTCGCAGGCGTAGTTTTCGCAGCTCGCGCGTTGCCGCGCTTGGGTCAAGGCGGCGCGAGTTCTGCGGGCTGATCTGCACGACAAACCTTGACCAGTCTGGAAGCCTTGAACGAGCTGCAGGGTCAGCCGCAGGTGGCGGTGGAGGAAGGTCACCTCCCTGCTGTCGTCCTCGTCTGGCTACTACCCGTGGTAGTCGTCTGCGGTTATCCGAGCTGCCGGCGCCACTTGGCTTTGAATCGTGTCTGCCTGCTGAGATGTCGCGGCTGCTGGCGCCCGTAGTCGGTCCAGCTCTGGAGCCAGGCTTCGGGGCACGTAGCCGCGCGACTTGTTTGGCGGCTGGTGCCTCCGAAGCGGCTGCCGCCGCAGATGGTGGTGCGTCGGATGCAGTTGCCGCCGCAGGTGGTGGGGCTGCCGGTTCAGCAAGGGCTGGGGGCCCCTGCCCATGATGATCTGGCAGCTTCCACGGTTTGGAAAATTTGAATTTGCCAGGTGTAAGTAAATAGCCAGACTTAGCCTTCCCATAATTCTTTTGGCAGTTTGGACACTCTCAGTAATCATTCTCTTTGTCGCACCACCTGCAGCGTTCAGGGCTTCTGCTGTGTGATGGGGATGCATGTTCACATTGTCGGCACGTGCAGGGCGCCCCCGTCCTCCTGATGCTGGTTGCGCGATACGTCCGTCAAGATGTCTAGGGATCGCTGGGCCATCCACGTCGGACCCGGGTGCATTCGTTACAAGAACAGGTGAAGCATGAGGGTGATCGTGAAAAAGGATCGCGGTTAACCGCGAACATGTCATGTGCAATGTGACCTGCCGCAGCGAAGCGGGATTGCATCTTCGGGGTAGATTGTGCTGCCTTGGCCAATTCCTTGTTGCAAACCGAAGCATGTTGGTGGTGGCCAGTGCACCAGTTGTTGTCGACGGGTGTCAGTAGTGAACGATGGTTGGCCATTATTTCAATCGTTTGCGTATTAATACGCCATGGGAGTCACGAAGGCCTGTAATGCATTGGTCTATATTGACCTTGCGAGTGCCCGCGTTTGGCGAGTGTCGTCCATGGTCGTACTTCAACTCATCCACGCAAGTTCCCACTGGTTGTTCTCGTAATTAAAATCGTTGGAGATTGCCCTGACGTGCCGCGACTCTTCCACATAACTTAATGGGAGGGAGGTCCTCCATGTGACGTTCATGCCACCTGCCGCAGTTGACCTTTGCATTGGAGTAAGAGGGTCGTCCAGTAGTTCTGCAGTTAGGTTGTAAGACTATTATCTTCACAAAACATAGACACCCAAGTAATGAATTACTGCATCCGGGACTTCCTTGTTTCCAAGGTCAACATGAGAACGTTTGTCGAGGTTACCCCCTGAGAATAAAGCTCGGCTGAATACGACAAGTGAGATTCCCCGGTTGCCTCCGCATGATTCCCGCACGTCTACCTCGTTGTTTCGTCCGTAACACAAGGCTGGCATTATGGAAAACACATCGGCATGTACATCCGCAGGTAGCCCCGCTGGTAATGTCACGCAGGTTTCCTCATCTTCATCACCGTCAGAAGTCCAAAAGAACATCGGTGTAGTATGCTCACCGTCCAAGGCCCTCAAAATCCCCGCCGCAAGCATCGCCGACGTCTTCGACCTGGTTGGGTATCCCGCGTGGTTTGATGCTGGCTTCTTTGTCAGCTTTCTGTGTTTCTTTTTGATTTATCCGGGCATCAGTATGTAGTGCTGTCTGTTGTTGCCCATTGTGGGGCATAGTGGGCGCGTCGGACATTCTGGAGTAGGGGGTGGCGCGCGGCCGCGATCAATCGAGGGGGGGGGGAAGTCGATTGCCATCGACGGTCGTAACCCGCCTTGGGCGTGGTCGCTCCCCCTCATTACTAAGCAAGGCTGGGGCCGGAGGCTCCCAGTACAGTCGAGTGCTGATGTTGGTCAATCTACTTAGCAATTGAGCTATTCAGTTATATCCGATGGGTTGGTCCTGAACCTTGATACGTTGTATGATAGCATTGTTGTCAGGGTTCGTAATTGCCCAGCGTGCCACATGGTGTAATTGCGGACCATTCTTAGGAGACTGGACGCAAGTCCGAGCTCCTTTAATTATTCGAGAGTGCACGCTGAGATGTTCAACGCGTTTATCGTTTCTCTGTGTCTTAGGTGTATCAATTTGGTCAAGCAGTCGTGCAATCATGATAGCGATTGTTTGGTTCCGCCATTCCACCCCCTGGGCGCCTTGGCCGCGCCAGTCTAATTCATGTTCTGCTCTTTCGGCAGGCCCCGCCGCAGCTCGGCGCGTGCATTTCCACAGGTTACCTGGG